TTTTTACTGTGTATTGAATTTACTGTTTTCTGACCTCGTCTTGTTTGATCATTGTTGGTCCCTGTTATCCTGACTTAAGCTTGACTATCGATTCTATGTATGTCTGTTATCCTAGACCTCGGCCTGTCTGTCGTTTCTGCTTGCCGTCATTTAATTTATCTGACTTGGGCAGGCTTTCCCAAACTCCGGCCCTCCAGATGTTGCTGATCTACAACTCCCATGATTCTCAGTCTATCTTTTTCATTCATGGAATCATGGGAGTTGTAGTTCAACAACATCTGGAGGGCCGGAGTTTGGGGAAGCCTGTTCTAAGGACTGGTAAGTGTTCCTTTACTGTTTCCTTTAGGTGTGCGTGTTAGGGTATCTCCACTCCTGACAGGTTTGTATGTGTGATTACATGACTGAAAGCTCAATTATGTTCTATAAAGCGGAAAACTGCAATTTTTACTGCTTCGTTAACTGACAGTTTTTTTGAGATGGACCATGACAAGAGTAGACTAGCGATGAGATTTAGTGATATGTTTTGATACTGTCAGTCATGCTTGCTTGGTTTATCCTAAGGTTCCTGCATTTTGTCATGGGAATTTAACCCAGCTCTGTTTAGAACAATGGAGTCTATGCTCTTACTCCCTAATAGGAGTGGACATGAGGAAGAATGAGTTTGGAAAATGCACGTTCAAATTTTTGTTGGCACATTTCAGGTTACATAGTTACATAGTAATCTAGGTTGAAAAAAGACTAAAGTCCACCAAGATTAACATTGAAATCCATTCTTTTATGCTGTTGATCCAAAGGAAGGCAAAGAAAAAAAAAGCTTGCAACTGCACTTTTTCTAGTTCTGCAATATCCTTCTTCGAAACTGATGCCCAAAATTAAATCACATATAAAGAGGCAAATTTTAATTATGATTATGTAAATCAATACCCTTTTTTAAACATGCATTGCATACAGTTGCATATTTTCCAAGTTAATTTCATTTAATGTTACCCATAAGTCAACCCCATTTAATGTATAATGTGTAAGTGGCTTTTGGGTTCGTTATTCCAAAATGCATGACTTTGTATTTATCTGTATTAAATTTCATCTGCCACTTGACTGTCCAGACCACCAATTTATCCAAATCCATCTGTAGATAAGTTATATATGTTCACACGGTACTTAATTACCTAGCTTTGTTTCATCTGCGAACACTGACAAATGACTTTCTATGCCTACGTCAAGATCATTTATAAACAGATTAAAGAGAGGTGGATCCAGGACAGAACCACTGTCCTGAAGGCACTCCACTTACCAATTTAAAAATGTTCAATTTCAACTACTCTCTGCACTCTATCTTTAAGCCAGTGTTCTATCGAAGAATTTGATTTTTCATCTAAACCAACTGATTTTAGTTTTTTATAGTAACCTTTTGTGTGGAACTGTATCAAATGCCATAGCAAATTCCAAGTAGATCACATCCACCGGAACACCCGATCTATATTTCTACTAACTTCTTCATAGAACGCAATTAAAGCGGCACTGTCATAGCCGAATCCAGGTTTTTTTTAACCCCCTCCCGACTCCACTACATCAATTACATTGTCTTTAAGAGCCCCCACCACCGCTCATGGGTGGAGGGAGAACAATAGGTCCCCCCATTGTCTTTTAGGGCCCCCAACCGCTGCTCAATAGATCCCTCCCATTGTATTTTAGGGCCCCCACCAGCCACGCATGGGTGGGGGCCAAGGGGGACCCTATGTCCCCCATTTAGTTGAATAGCCCCCACTCACAGGGCACAGGTGGAGGCTTGGAGTGGACACTATGTCTCCCCCCCCCTCCGATAGTTAAGAGATGCCCCACCATGGGGCCATTAATTGGAATGAAATTTTGAATCAACTTAAAAGTACAGATTGTCGTCCTAACATGAATAAACAAACATCTTAATGGCAGTACGTTCAGGAAAAATGAACGAGATCAACGAGGAAATTTGAGAATTGTGGAAAAATTCCTCTGACCACAGGAAATGGAGCACACTTTGTTCCTCCGCTGGTCATAGTTGGTCAGGCGTAGGAAATATACATAAGACAAAATAGTGCCTATTTTGGCTTATGTTTTAAAGAAAACTAGCAGACAGGAGGAAATGAAGAACAGATCCTGAGAGAGGTAGAGAAGAGGAAGCGATTAGGGAAAGGTAAGTTGACGTGACAGTGCCGCTTTAAGTTAGTTGCCTTGATCTGTTTTTCATTACTCCATGTTGATTCATGCTTATGATATTGTTGTTCAAAATCAATACTTGAGAATTATCCCTTAACAGCTCTTTGGATAATCCTCACCACAGATATTAAACCCACAGGTCTGAACTTTCCAGGCTGGGCTTTTAAACCCTTTTTAAATATAAAAGAAAAAAATAATAAAACATTAAAAACAGTGGCATGTATGTTTCTAAACTAAACTTCCTATACCAGGACAATGCAGCCTTTTCAGGCATTTCAGCTGCTAAGCACTGCATCTCCCCTGATGCTTTGCCAGCATTATGAGAGATAGTCGATAACAACTGGAGTGCTGAAGAATGCCTACCGCTGCCCTAAGCACTTGTGGATAAGTACCATCTGGCCCTGGGGCTTTGTTTACATTAACTTTATTTAATTGCTGTAGCACTTTATCCTGTGTTAACCAATCACCCGTTTACTGTAAGGCTTTTCTAACAGGTACAGACATAGATTTCATCTTCCCTATATACTGAAGAAGAAAAAAATATGTAGAATTTATGCCTTTTTCTGATCCGACTTGATTAACTCACCCTTCTCAGATTCCAATGGACCAACACATTCATTCTTAATCTTTTTGCTCTCTTTGGACTTTTAACATTTTATTTTGCAAGCCCTATTGGCATTTTTGTATTTTTTATAGGATGCAATTGACCCAAATGTTTTGAATGCCCTTTTCTTATCATTTATTATTTGACTTACCCTTTTTCATAAGCCACATTGATTTTAATTTGCTTCTTTTATGTTTGTTCCCCAATGGTATGCATTTAAAAATGTACTTATGTAGAATTTGTTTAACCCCTTAAGGACATGTCACACATGTCATGTTTCCTTAAGGGGTTAAAGACCTTCCATTTATCCTCTGTGCTTTTGCCAGTATATAATTCACCCTATGCTGGTCATACTATGGTCACTATTTTCGAAGGGCTTCAAAGTTTTAAAATAGGTAAATTATTAGTTATAACAAGATCGTGACAAGCATCTCTTCTCTGTGCGTCTAATAATTGAGACATGAAAGTGTGGTTTATCAGGTTCAAAAACCTGTTTCACTTAGCTGAACTACTAGTCCCTCTGGCCCAATCAATGTCGGGATAATTAAAATCTCCAATGGTTAGCAAATTACCCAGATGTGCAGCCTTATTAATTTAAGATAGCAGTTGCTTTTCGCAATTAGTATTAATGTTTGGATACTGATAACATATTCCTACTATTAATGGATATCCCCTGTATCCTCCTATGCATATTTCTACCCATAAGGCTTTCACATCCTCACTTGTATCAACACATATAATTTGTTTAACACTTGGCTTCAAATTGGATTTAATATAAAGGTATAGCTTACCCCCTTTTCTGTTTTTTTCTATCATTCCTAAATAATATATACCCATTTAAATTAATAGCCCAATCACTCGTTTCATCCCACCAAGTCTCAGCAATCCCAATTACGTCATATTGTTCATTGTGTGCTAATATCTCAAGCTCCCCTATTTTCTTCCACAAGCTTCTTGCATTAGCAAGTGGACATTCCAGAACAGTTTTTTTAAGACATTTGTTTCTTGAACTCCCTAGTCCAGAACTCTTGTTCCAGACTGGCTAATGACTCCCCTCAAACCGAAACGCTGCACATACATACTCCAGGCACCATGATCACTTTAAATCACTGACTTGGTCATGGTGCTTAGAGTAACCCGTTATAAGCTATATGAAAATGGAAAACAACAGGTTCTTATATCATAACCTATACCAGGGGCTTATGTGGTTATGATGCTTATACGAGTTTAAGTTGAGATATTTAGCCTAATTTAACTAGTGTGGAAAATTCTCCAACTCAATTACATTTACAACTTATCTATTTTAACCTAAATTTTCTAATTCTCTTTGTAGTACATTACAAATCAGTGTTTGAATAAATCAATCAATGCTTTTTTTAATTTTTTTATTATTCTTTCTTTTTGCAGTGCAAAGAAAAAACATAACAGCAGGCGTGTGGTGCCCCAAGAGCATTCCTCACGCTGATTATCAACATTTTAAACAATGGGGTTATCATAAATCCGTGCACATTTTTCAGTTATTTATGTCTAGATTGTCCATGTTTAAACTTTACGCTGGGTATACAATTAAAATGTGGTCCTAGTTTAGCTGAGCAGGTCTAACGAAACCTTGGCGGCACAGTGCGTTATATACCTTATAAAGCATTCCATCTAGTCACTGGCTTATCTAGCTGATCTAGGACACATGAAAAAATGTAACATAGCTAACTATAGTATGAAACATTTAAAGATCCCGCTACCCTGACTAGGCCCAGGAAAAGCATTGAAAAGTAGTCAACAACTGACTAAGCATAACATGTTTTAGCTAATATATATGTGATAAACATGTTGTAACGTTTAGTTGCATGTTTGAGTAATACAACATAAGTGTTAATAATGCCAGCGAGAAATTAAAATAACATAATGTAGCCTTGAGTTTCAGTTGAGCAAGGAGTAGTCTCAGAGTCTATGGTCAAAATGTCGGCCAATTCCACAGTCCCGGCTCAGCAAGACACCAGCACCGCTGCTAGGTAAGGGGGCTAGTGGGGCTCCGCTGCCCCTTCCCGGTCTTCCATGGGTACCTCGTATTGCGGGTGTGTGTTGTCGGCGGTGTGTCGGCTTCTCTTCTCCCCGTGTTGGTCTGTGGGCTGGTATCTGTGTTTTTCCTCCTGCTACGGGATCAAAGCCCTTCTGGGGTCTTGGAGCCATTTTTTTCTGGTATGTGAGCAGCTAGTGTGCTGAGTGTCCATCTTAGCTCTGCAGGCTGTATGCCGAGCGTGGGCCCCCCAGGTGTGTTTCTGTAGTTTGATTAACTGTGGGCCATGTGTGTGGGGTCTCTGCTTGTGTCGGGATCTAGGCAGGCGGAGTCTCATGTGTAGTCTACGGTTCATGAGTCGGGGTAGAGCCCTCGCTTGCTTCTCCCTGGTTAATGGTTCAGTAGTGCTTTTTGGCGCCGGTCTGCGTGTAGGGGGGATGTTGGGCTGTCAAGAGGCTGTTTGGGCTGCCTTGGTCTGTGCCAGCGTGGCCCATAGTTGTGCACAAAATTGGTCGAAGGCGGCTACTATACCGTTCTCCCGGGGGATCCCGTTTGCAGGCCCCACTTGTAGTAGCTGGGTAAGTGTAAGCCCAGGAGCCTGGTTAACAGCCGCCATTTTGATTGCTGATTGCGGGTAGCTTGCGGTTGCCTGAGTTTGTAGGAGCCTGTGACCCTGTGTGATGTGGACAGGGATGACCCCCACCGGTCTGGGGGGGAACGTGGGCTCTGCGGTAGGTCAGCCGGGTATAATGGTAGCGGGAGAGCGGCCGTCTCTCCAGCGCTGCCCGTGTGAGTAGACCGCATGTTAATGCCGTGCGGCGTATCAGCCCGAGCAGGCCTCAGTGGCTGGATCAGAGACCCGGCTCCCGATATGCTCGTTTCTGATATCGGGGTGTTCGCCTGGGTATCCCCAGTTTGGTAAGAGCGGACCTGGAGTTGGACATGTCGAGTTTCGTGGGTTTTTCCCCAAAAAAGTTGATTAGTCTCAGGAGCTGGGACTCGGCACGTCTGTTCTCCTTGACTGCTCGGCTCCGCCCCCCTTTGGGCGCTTTCTTAGAATCAATGCTTTTTTAAAAGATGCTTAGATCCTAAGAAGGATATTTTCCTTTTTTTTAGTGGAGTTAACCATGGGGAACAGCATCATGAGTTTGTATACCAACTTAAACACACATTGAGCACACTAACACTGCAGATACAGTTCGTGTGGTGACTGTAAATAAATTGATTCAACATTGTAGATCTTCAGAATAATACAGTTAAGGCGAAATGCTTGAAGCGTTTTTAAATAGATCTAGGAATATTTAAAGGGAATAGACTCAGGGTGGGCTGGACAGCACAAATAGGGATGTGCATGGGGAAAATATTCGGTTTGGTTCAGCATTCCGAAATTCGGGAACTTTGGGACCTGGGCACTTCGGTTCGGTTCGGCACTTCGACAATTCGGAACTTCGGCACCTCGGCACTTCGGAATTTCAGGACTCTGGCACTTCTGGACTTCTCTTGCAGCAACTTAGTAGATAATTCCCAAGGTATTAGGGAGCTATCTACCAAAAGGCTGAAAGACCTAAATTGGTCTTTCAGCCAAATTTACTAATACTAAGTAAAGATTAGTCGCTAAACCGCAAGTAGGGGCATGTCCCCCCTCCCGGGCCCCCACTCGTGCCGAGTGAGTAGGGGCTTTTAAACTAAAGGGGGCATTTATTGCCCCCCCGGCCTCCACCCCAGAGCGGAGGGTGGGGGCCCTAAATTAGAATAAGGGGGTACCTATTGTCCTCTCCCCTAGCACCCACCCCTGAGCGGTGGGTGGGGGCACTAAATACCAATAAGGGGGGGACCTATTGTCCTCCCCCCCGGCCCCCACCCCTGAGCGGCGGGTGGGGGCCCTGAATAAAAATGTAATCCCCCCGCCAGATGACTAGGGGTTCTCAAACCCCTAGTCACCTCCTCCCAAAAAAATTATTAACCCCTATCTACCCCCCTCACCCTAAAAATAGTGAGGGGCTGAATCCTGGCTATGTTTTTATACTTTTTATTGAAACTGGTATACATTGTAACATTCTTCATTCTTCCACTGGGTAGGTATATTAGTACTTCGGCAACTTCAGAAGTTTGGCAATTCGGAACTTCGACACTTTGGAAATTCAGCAATTTCGGAACTTCGGCAATTCAGCTATATGGACATTCGGAACGAAACAAATTGCACGTGTCTAAGCACAAACACTAATAATGTATATTTACATGAACTCATGCCAAGTGAAGGGTTAGATCAGGTAAGGACCATTTGTGCTCACGTCCCATAAATCTCTGTAATGCATCTAGTGGGGTTTAGTGGTTTCTGGTTTCTGAATAATTTTTACAAGAAGGGTCAGACTAGACTGCCAGGATACCTGATAACACGAAGAGGAGCATCTCTTTAAATTGTATGCAATAAAAGCCATCTGAACGCCAGAAGTCTGCTTAAAAGACCTTTAACGGCACCCAGACCACAATGAAGTGATCTCAGTGCAGGGTAATACATTGTAATTTTGTAGACACTGCAATGTTTCAATTGCAGGATTAAACACACCTATAGTCATAGGCTTCCCTGTGAGAACCGAGCCTAGAGCTGCATTGGATTGGCACAGTGCTTTGCTGAACATGCACACAAGCCTCTCAATGATTCCCTATAGCAGTGCTCTTGAACCCTCTCCTCAAGATACACCTTACAGTCCAGGATTTAGGGATTACCCGGGTGTGTCTAAGATGCTTGAAAAAAGAAAACAAAAATCCTTTGAGTCTAAGATGTTATTAGTAGAGTTGAGCGAACTTGACCCCAAACTTCACCCCGAACCCCATTGAAGTCAATGGGAACTCGAACCTTTGGGCATAAAAATGGCTCTAAAAAGTCCTGGAAAGGGCTAGAGGGCTGCAAAAGGAAGTAAAATGGGGGTAAGAGTACGACAAGTGCCCTGCAAACAAATGTGGCTAGGGAAATCACTTAAAATACATAAAAATTAGTAGATAGCTACCTAATTGCCACGGTATCAGGGAGGTAGCTACCAAAAGGCTGAAAGACCTAAATTGGTCTTTCAGCCAAATTTACTAATACTAAGTAAAGATTACTTAGTATTAGTAAATTCAGCCCCTACTCGCTACACCGCGAGTAGGGGCATGTCTAATAAGTAGTGCTCTGTGTCATTTTGCACAGCATGGGAAAGTTCTGTAAACAGTGTTCTGTAAATTTTTCGCCTTGGCACTAGCTAGCAGGCCAGTTCTCCGAAGGTCTCATCCCCACCTCTACGACAACTTAATTATCCAAATCATTATTTCTTTCCAGAATGTCACGAAAATCCATCCCAATAATCGGTCTGCTGTTGGATGAAATACCCAGCACGCCAGTCAGGCCTGGGTCTCCGAAGGAATCCCTCACCCCTCCTTTGTTCGTTCCATACATCTATACCCCTCATACAGCCCTATTTCTCTTTTTCCCTCAAGGCCTCATTCAGCCTCCCCACCTCCCAAAGTGAGTTCTAAACTTCAAACATACCAGGTCTGAGATTCCTCACTACGATTTGAACATCAATTACTCAAACCTACACCACCTCAATATTACTTATTTTAACCATACAATTCTTGTCTATTGTTTCTACATTTCTTCACTCTGGCCTGTGTCATTCCCGGAGTTTCACCAAGTTACACGGCATCAACCTCCAACAAGACTACCTGGTTCCCTGCATTTCAGTTTCAGGTATTGTAAATCTAACTCACTACAATTACATTTCTCCTCAAGGCCTCACTTCGCCTTCGTATCATGCAAATATCACAAGTGTGGGAACCCCAGGGGGCTTGTCTCTACTTACGGACCACGTTCAGGTCCCTCATCGTACATTCCATTACTACTCTTTACCCATAAGTTTGACATTTTTACATTTGACATACCAGAGGCACGCTTCAGGCCCTCTAGCATCTACATTACCCTTAGGATATCTTCACCGGACCCGTTCCCTGCGGAAGCAAGTATATATCGAAATATTCCTGCGCATTGACCAAAGAAATAGGACAATACTCAAGGTTAAGTATATACATACATTCCATTACACCATTCTAAGAGACAAGCCCCATCAGGCTAGTGAACTGGCATTGAGGATACCTGGAGGTTCAGCCCCACAATCAAATCATAGTTAGCTACCTCACTTGCCCTTCTTTAGGGCTACAGCTAGGGCTTCCCAAGTCACAGCCACACGTTTTGAATCTCTTACGGTCACCGAGAGGCCAATATTCTGCCACCTTGTTCAAGTGGCCACAAAATTCCCTCGGCCCAAATCATAGGTAGTGCCTCTCTCCACCACTTGGCACTAGCAGGGTCTCACCTGTCACTTGTCTCTAGGTACATTTTTCGCCTTGGCACTAGCTAGCAGGCCAGTTCTCCGAAGGTCTCATCCCCACCTCTACGACACCTTAATTATCCAAATCATTATTTCTTTCCAGAATGTCACGAAAATCCATCCCAATAATCGGTCTGCTGTTGGATGAAATACCCAGCACGCCAGTCAGGCCTGGGTCTCCGAAGGAATCCCTCACCCCTCCTTTGTTCGTTCCATACATCTATACCCCTCATACAGCCCTATTTCACCATCCAGCAGCTCAGGACTAACATTAAGCACTCTGCCTTCCACTACAATACCTCTACACTTGGCCCTCACCAGGCCTTCTCTCCATATGTTTACACATAGCCCTCTACGGGCACTATGGCAAATCCGGCCGCTCATTTGGGCAGTTTCATACGTCAATTTCCTCCCCACATTTGGGCAAATATACAAATTTCAAAGAAATACAACTTTTCATACTACATTTCTAATATTACGCATGGCCTCATTAGGCCCACGCAAGTCTTTTTCCTCTCTCGGCACACACACGAGAACCTGGTACCTATCACTATGCATTTCCAGGCTTCTTTGGTCTGTCACTAATTTAACTGTTTAGTACCTCTCGCCACTCCTTCATCCCACGCACTAGCCTGGGAGGCGGGCAGAAGGACAAGCGGGGCTGACCATTTCATTTCGGTTCGGGCGTGCTATGACTTTAAGCTGCTATTTTCACTACATGCAGGGTATCACACATCTGCTCCAGAACCCACACCTAGTCCACATATACTGCCCGACTGTCACCTAAGATATGCCTAACTAAGGTCAACATTGACATCCTGGAACACTATCTGCATTACACCCAGCTAGGCATATAGAAACATAGAATGTGACGGCAGATAAGAACTATTCGGCCCATCTAGTCTGCCCAATTTTCTAAATACTTTGATTAGTCCCTGGCCTTATCTTATAGTTAGGATAGCCTTATGCCTATCCCACGCATGCTTAAACTCCTTTACTGTGTTAACCTCTACCACTTCAGCTGGAAGGCTATTCCATGCATCCACTACCCTCTCAGTAAAGTAATACTTCCTGATATTATTTTTAAACCTTTGTCCCTCTAATTTAAGACTATGTCCTCTTGTTGTGGTAGTTTTTCTTCTTTTAAATATAGTCTCCTCCTTTACTGTGTTGATTCCCTTTATGTATTTAAATGTTTCTATCATATCCCCCCTGTCTCGTCTTTCCTCCAAGCTATACATGTTAAGATCCTTTAACCTTTCCTGGTAAGTTTTATCCCGCAATCCATGAACCAGTTTAGTAGCCCTTCTCTGAATCCTCTCTAAGGTATTAATATCCTTCTGAAGATACGGTCTCCAGAACTGTGTACAATACTCCAAGTGAGGTCTCACCAGTGTTCTGTACAATGGCATGAGCACTTCCCTCTTTCTACTGCTAATACCTCTCCCTATACAACCAAGCATTCTGCTAGCATTTCCTGCTGCTCTATTACATTGTCTGCCTACCTTTAAGTCATCAGAAATAATCACCCCTAAATCCCTTTCCTCATATATTGAGGTTAGGACTCTATCAAATATTCTGTACTCTGCCCTTGGGTTTTTACGTCCAAGATGCATTATCTTGCACTTATCCACATTAAATGTCAGTTGCCACAATTCTGAACATTTTTCTAGTTTACCTAAATAATTTGCCATTTGGCTTATCCCTCCTGGAACATCAACCCTGTTACATATTTTAGTATCATCAGCAAAAAGACATTCCTTACCATCAAGACCTTCTGCAATATCACTAATAAAAATATTAAAGAGAATGGGTCCAAGTACAGATCCCTGAGGTACCCCACTGGTGACAAGTCCAAGCTTCGAATATATTCCATTAACTACAACCCTCTGTTGCCTGTCACTCAGCTGGCGCTTCATTGCAGCTTCCATTTGGAGTGGAGTCTGGAGTGGAAATGGGGAATAATGTCCGCCAGACCAATTTCAGAACTTTTAAAAGAGTTTGATTACTGGGAGGAGAACCAGAGCAAATTAAAAAAATTAAGAATTTGATTTACAATTTCCCAAATATATTTTTTCTTGTTTCTGTAGCTCTCAAAATGCATTCATCAACTTTATCTTAATTAAGTGGTTTAAGTGTATAGATCATTCCCACACAGCCTAGCTTTTCAAATCTCTGCCACCTAGGGGTTAAATCACTTTGTATAAGCAGCCTTAGCCACACCTTCCCAGGTTCCCTAAACATTTAAACTACATTTATTTTAGCTTCCCTTATTGCACAATGTGTTTAATTCAGAAGTTTGTCATCTGCTTTTATCAGGAAATTTGGATTTCCACTACAGGGGTATTTCACCCTGCAGTGGAAAAAATGGCAATTTCTACAAGAATATTTTACATTGCAGGATTAAATCTATAGGGCCACTGCACCCAGACCACTTCATTAAAATGAAGTGGTCTAGTTGATTGTAGTGGTCCTTAACAGTTCCATTTATAGAGCAGGAGATAACTTCTATAGTAAACATACTATAAAATCGGATTGAAAACCAAAAAATTGTTTTCTTCTTTTCATGGAGATTGTGCGATTCACAGCCAGGGGTGTGTGACTAGGGCTACAAAAGCAAAGAGGTTATAACTATTACATGGTAGAAAATTAAGCTGTGCGGCAGCAAGGACATCATATACCAAAATACTACATTAAAGTGTCTCTGTCACTGTTCTTACGTGAACCTGTCCCCTGCAGCCGCTGCCATCTTCTACAGCTCCTGGCGCTTCAGCTGCCAAGAGCAGGCATCAGTGCTGTACACCTGCACATGTTTGGGAGTAAAACACTGAGGTCTATGGAGAATCCCTTGAGTTCCTCTGTTGACAGAGGTGATGATGGGGGGCTTGCCTTTTGCAAGTTTAGGAAAAATACTAAAACTGACTAGTCCTTACTTTGTCTTAGTACGTCTTTGACTGTGTTGGGATTTCAACAAAATATGAATATTTTAAAGATATTTTCTTTAAGGAATACTCATTTTGGATGGGGTGGTGTGTTGGCGAGAGACGCACTGAAAGCCAAAGTCACTTTGGTGCTTAAAGTATTTTGTTTTGGTGCTTTAACCCCTCAGGACCAAACTTCTGGAATAAAAGGGAATCATGACTTGTCACACGTCATGTGTCCTTAAGGGGTTAAATTCCTTTGGTGCATTGTCCTGTTAATGTTAAATAATGTGATGCTCGGTATCTTAAAAGCTTTCTATATCCATGGGAATGATCACTGTAGGTCTAATCCAGTTCTTTTACAACGCTGTTCAAAGTAAAAAATGATCAAATGTCACATTTTTCTAAAACGCTGCCAAAGACATGATGTGATTGTTTTGAAATATATTTATTTTTCATGAGTAAGAGTGAACGCAGTTTTAAACTAATAGGAAATGTTATAAACAGGGACATACAGTATGCAAAATACATACACTCATTTACAAAGCGTAAATTGTGCAGCCATTATATCTATATATTATATGTTATTCCAGGGATCTTTTCCACAGTAGTGTCAGTCCATCCTATGGTTTAAACAGTTAAAATGATCTTGCCTAAACAAAACAAAGATATTGGGGAAAAAAAAATTTTTTTAGATTGTACATTAGAAAGTGCAAAAGTTGCTAACGGGATATTTAAAAAGAAAAGAATGCTATTTCAAAAATGTGTGACTTCCACATTAAAAGTAAATTATATTTCTCCCATATTAAACTATTTGCTGCTAGTCCGTGGTAAACTGCCGCCTTATGGCCAAACCAATACATAAGGCTGTTTTCTAGTAAGAGTTCTCTCGTGAAGATCTGATTTGAAAGTATCACTGCAATTTTATTTTACATCTAAGTAAAATTACTGCTCAATTGCAATAATTATTTTTCCTTAGGAATGAGGTTTGGACGTGGGTGATTCAATGATCGTAAAAGGAAAGAAAAAAAAACATCTTCTAGACACTTGTAAACGAGAATACAGTATAATTATTACGCCCTCTACTGGTAGCAGCAGAACTACAGCAACCCTAGATGTGCACGCAACGATAGTTTTTGTGGTTAATAAATATACAGTCTTGGAAATGACCTTGCACAGAAATCCTAGCAGAATAACACAGTCCTAGGTCGGTTTTATATGTATCTGATGAGTACGAGTCCATGTAAACAAAATTTCAAGAAGGGGCCTCGCTCGACTTGTGAACCAAGATAACGCTATGCAATTACACATCACAAGTTCTTTCATGTTACACTGGGTAGACAAAAATTAATGTGAGTTTTTATAATAATTTAAACACATTCAAATTAATTTTATATTTAAGTGTCCAGCTATAAAACAGATAGCACAGTATAAATGTTACACACTACAAAAATATGGCTAAATGCATTTTAATATAGGATTATGCTCACATTAAATAAAAAATTGTTTTACTCCTACAGCAAGATGCATTATTCATCACCATCCAATTCAGATTCTCAACTAGCACAGGCCAATTGTGCCAAAGCCAAGGGATACTATGGTAAATTTAGTTTCATAGGATGGTCTTCGATGGGAAACGTTTAAATATTAGAATCCTGATGTGAAGGAAAATTGAGATTAGAGATACTTATATCTGCTATTTGGGGTATAAGAAAAGCAACAGGTTTATTAAGCACTGATGTAGATTACAGAACACATTAGACAGAGTATACATGGTAACGTGTGTGTAGGATTTCTACCACCTCCCTGAACATATTTTGCCTTTTGGACTTCTTCCTTCCTGTCCTAAATATCCTCCATATTGGTTGAAGAGAAACGTGGCTTATCCAGCACAATATCTTGCGCATGATGGAAAAGATGGAGGCATGGCCTGTCACACAATAATACTCTGTGATGTGATGCCCCAGTGAAAACAGAATCCGTGACAAGCTAGAGTCTTTAATTTAAGAATACAAGGCCTCCATACACAAGAATAAAAACTCAAAATTCTCAAACAAATGAGTGTGGATGGCATGTGGCTATTTTGCAGATTTGATGTTTATTGTAAATGCTGGCGAGTGTGGCAAAGCAGCAACACAAAATGAACAATCCAGGATTTCCTTGATGCCGGCCACTCGACGTACCGCTTGAAGTTGGCGGAAGAGGGTTGGTGAAGCCCTGCACTTACAGTTTTGACTATGGGTTTAAAGTGAAGCTGAGATTTCGATTTCTCCAAGTCAAGTCACTTTCGGTTTGCTTTATTGAATGCCCAATGCCAAGCTTAGGGCAGAGAAAGTAAAGAAGGGCAAAGAGATAAACATTTCAAGTTGCGTTTCTGACCGCTTTCCTCCTCTCCGATCTTCCCTGACAAATCATATGTACACCCGCTCCAACTGTTAAACAAAGTCTTTCCACCCGGGCGACGTTCTAGGGCATTTGAAAAATCTAAATCGCTGAAGCCCAGCTCTCTAGTTCTCTCATATCGTCGTCATCCTCCTCTTGCTTTTTCTTGACTAAAAAAAAAAAAAGTTAAAGAAAATGGTTAAAGGCAAACACTAATCTTCTGATCTTACAACTTAAGATTCCAACACACATCTTTTGAACCACTGTGAAAGAAACAACCTTTAAATATTAATTTCTGACATCTAAATTTATTTTTTAATGTATAAAGCTTTTTGATGGTCGAAGCACTCTTGCTGGAATACGGCAGTGTGGGATTTAAAGCAATAGATTTTAAATAATTGAATGTTGTTTCCATTCTTCTGTTAAGGCAGGCTTGTGGCAATACAGAGTGAAAGCCATCTAAAAAGCAAGTTTGCACCTTATGAGGATATTTAAAACACAGCAAAGTCTTTTTTTTCTATTTTGCTGTGACTCGGGCCATGAATCTCAGTATTAAAGACCACTATAGGCACCCAGACCACTTCAGCTCAATGAAGTGGTCTGGGTGCCAGGTCCATCTAGGGTTAACCCTGCCTTCTGTAAACATAGCAGTTTCAGAGAAACTGCTATGTTTACATTAGGGTTAATCCGGCCACTAGTGGCTGTCTCATTGACAGCCGCTAGAGGCGCTTCCATGCTTCTCACTGTGAAAATCAGAGTGAGAAGACGCTGCCGTCCATAGGAAAGCATTGAGAATGCTTTCCTGTGGACTGACTGAATGTGCGCGCGGCTCTTGTCGCGCAATGCGCATTCGGCGGAAGAGGAAGGAGAGTCCCCAGCGCCAAGGGAGCCCGGTGCTGGAGAAAGGTAAGCCTTCCTCCCCCTAGAGCCTGGCGGGAGGGGACCATGAGGGTGGTGACTATTAACACTATAGTGCCAGGAAAACGAGTTTGTTTTCCTGGCACCATAGTGGTCTTTTAAACCGTTTTTAGTTCTAATGCTAAATGAGAATCCTCAGCTGCCCATCTCCTCTGTCCTGCTTATGAGGAAACATTACCCTGACCAGCAATAGATGGCGGTGATTGAGTCAGCTGATGGTCTTGGCCAAACATTAAATGTTGTGGATAAGATAACAAAATATTACAAATCAAGAGACAATACAGATCCACTTTAAGAGTTTAGAGTCAGAACAGGTTGAGGAATCTATCTCTGGTAACTGAATATTAGAAGTGCTATTACCTGGCTTTGCTGGTAATGATGCTGCAGGCACATTTGGTAGAGGCACAGTCTCTGGACCATGAACCTCCAGAAGACTCTTTTCTAAATCCTCTTGTTCCAGTTCCTCCAATTCAGCCAGAAGGTCATCCTAAATTAATAAAAAAAAAATTAAAGAAAGATATAAACATAAAATCTATTTTACATACAAAATGGCAGATATCCAAAATTGTAATGTTACTACAGCAAAGCAATTCGGTCATTCTTGTGACATGCACGTAGTTATGCTGTAGCACTACGTGGGAGAATAGTATCTCATGTTAACAAAGCCCAATCACTTTCCTCGTGTTATAATCCGAGGAAGCTATGCCTACCACATTGAATAAAGCACGATTCACCAATTTGCGAGTATGCAGAACAAAGTCAAGGGAATGATTACACTATGTCCTTCACAGTATGCAAATTTGACACAACAAAAGCTTGCTCTTTAAACAAGCAGAAATACCAATACAATTGTCTACTTATGTAGTTACAGGAATGAAGGTGACAAGCGATTGCAAATTCAGCTCTGGGTTAACATGTTACTATAGAAAACAAGCAGAAGGTGTGTTGTGTAAATACTGGCAATAAAAAGAGTGCTAATCTTACACCCACTTCAAAAAATGACTTGTGCCTTTAACCCCTTCAAGACAAAGGAGGTGCCAGGGCTGTCATGACAGTTTTATTTTGACACATTTAAAACCGATCTGTTTTCTTTTATGCATAGCACACATCTTAAGATGTTGTATAAGATGTTGTATAAATGGACTTCTTTACATTTACAGGTATCTTTGTTTTGCTTTTTGTGTTGCTTTACTGATGGTGGCGCAACATGAGGCCAACCAGTCAAACTGCCAGTAACGAGTTGGCAGAAAATTTGGGAGAAACAAGGAAGAACACACTGGCAGCAAGTTTATATTTAATCTGACTAAGCATTTCTAAACCAAGGCACAAGATAAGATAAGGTGGTCCATTTTTCTTGGCAATAAGTTTAAAGCAGAGCACATGTATCACAGCTATATCTTTATTTTCTAAAGATTATTATTCAGCTAAAACATGTGAAAAGTTTTCCTTTAAATGATAAAACGTGCAGGGACAGAACATGATAAAATAGTAGGGGTAAAACCAGAGAGGATGTAGATGCAGGTCACTAAAAATCTACCATATAATAAAAGTAGACATATTTTTTAATAATAATAAAACATGGCTGTGTGGTTGTGTTTTTTTTATTTTATTTTTTGTAGGAACACTATAGCATAGGAATACAAACATGCTTTAGCGCTGGATTGGTTAGATTGAAGATTTCTCCCCACCCCCACCCCCACCCCAAATTAAGTAAAAATGTCATTTTGGAGGAGCCTAAGCCTCATGCTGAAAAAACATGTATCAGTCGAGCTCCTGTTTGGCTCACCGATTATGACGGATTATTACCCACCACTGCATCCAAATCGGGGTGATTTCACGCAGCCTAAACTGGGGGTCCTGGGCCCTGCCAAGCCGATCCACTCAGTCCTGATGCCATTCCAGACAGCCCCTGCAACTAAAAAGCACATCCCCATGCCTGCTGTACCATACCTGTGGAAAGCTCCTTGCAGAATCTGGACCCAATATTCCAGGATTTCTGGGCCCGACTGGAAAGGCGCATGGCGACAACCTCGCTGCAGCCTACAGATCAAGCACGAGGACAAAATCTACTCTATGGCAGACAACCTAAGGGAAACAAGCTTCGAAAGCATTCTGCCCCTCTCCTAACACACAAACTCAAGCCGCAGAACAACAGGGGCTCGACCCCTACCAACTTCCAAGAAGGAAGAGGGTTGAACCAAGCTGAAACGGCATAGAGCCACACTTCAACTCCAGCGGCGGCGGGAGACCACGTTACAACACAGGCGGAGAGCTATTGTCTCAGGGCAGATCTGCAAGCCATCTGCACCGGTAACAGCATTCACGGGCTACACAGACCCGGATTCTCAGCCCTCGAGAACGCAAGCTAGAGCCACCGACATATACCCAAGTCCGAAGAAGGGTGGATGCCCTGACCTGACTTTGCCAAGCCGCAACCCCCCCTATGGACTGCCGTACTTCACACTAGGCCTGCCGATAGTGGGGGTAGGGTGACGCCTCAACCCCAGCATAAGACAGGCTCGCAGGCAGTGCATGTGTACCAGTGAAAGGCCCAGACGCAAGTCTGTTAAGAAGTAGTTCCACTATATCTAATTGCTCAACTAAACCTCCTACTACTCTTATAAGGTCAATATTGTAAGAACTGCCTGTTTATTTTATGCCTTATCGTTGTTATTGAAAGCCCATATGCTAAACGAGCTTAATATAACCTAAAATAGCAGCATGTCACCAATTTCTCAAGCATGATAGCAACTTTTATTCAGACCAGCCATCAGTTTAAGTAACCGGTTATGAAAACACTTCTGATATCTTGCCACTGACAAACTTCAACTGCTTGTTTTATTATTCTATATCTAACCTGAATCTATTGTTAAATCTTGTTATTTTCGATTATAAAACTGTGCATGCCTTCTCTAATCCCCAAATGTAATGCATTATACTATGCCTGAGGATTGCCTTTGGGGTACCTTAAGCGTGTATGTTATCTAATGCACTGCAAAAATTAAAAAAATAAAAAAATGGTAATTTTACTTTTTAATACCCTTGCCGCACTGGTCTTGTCAAAGTCACCCTGCCTCCCTTGCTGAAATAATGATGAGTGATGAACTCACCCAATCAAATGTTAGCCCCACAGGAAAGCATTGAGAATCTAGTGCACCTACGCGGCAAAACTTTACGCTGCACCAATCAAATGCTTTTAATGAGAGACATTTAATCTATAGCAGAGTTGGCAATTCTAGAGGCTGTCAAGAAGAGGGTTAACCTTGCAATGGAAACATTCTTGTACTTGCAAAACAATGCAATGTTTTCATTTGTAGGGTTCAAAAGACAATGAGATGAAGTGGTCTGTGTGCATTTTGTGTTCTTTTTTAAATATTAGCAATCAGAATACATGACAGTGGAGTGTCCCTTTAAGTAAAGGCAACCAAGTTAAACTCATTTAATGATGGGAGGGAAATGAAAGCTTAGCTTTAGAAGTGACACACATGTTAAAATTACATGTTCATACATTTAAAAGGTAATGAAAAATGACTTTAAATTAAGCTATAAAGTCAAGACGCACTCCCTTATCCTTGTCAACCATCATGCAGAAAAGGCCAAACAGCTTTACGGTGCTTATTCAGCTTTTAGTTTGGTATTACAGGCACCATACTAACTAATGGTTATGGTGCCAAGAAGTCCCTGGGGCCATCTTACCTTTTAAGAGGGGTTAAATCATCCAGTATTCATCACCCAATCGCTCTGCCCCAGTCCTGCTGCTGCTCAGATTCTTGAAAGAGGAATTTGGGACAAGGGTGCTGCTGATTGGTTCCCCATTCACTTGTACTGAAACATATGTATTTTTCTCAAGATTTCCCCTTTCAAGAAACTGAGCAGAGCAGTTAAAGGACAGGGGGAGAGTAATGGGCACTGTATACTGGACTTCGGGGTTAAACCATTAATGAACAGTTTAAACTCCTAAAGATAACCCTGCATCAATTGTTCAGTTGCTGTATGCAGTTTCTCGTAACTTGACCGGGTTGACTGGCAAGTTTCGGATCTTGGCTTTCACAATCAAATAAAACGATAACCTGAACAAAATGCATTCTGTGCATCCACCATTAGTAAAAGATGTACAGTACAAGCTGGAATGGGTGCCAATTGATACTCACATCATCAAACTCCTCTCCAAAGCCAACTGGTTTAGAAATGGCATCAGAAATTTCCTGTGCCAGCTCCTGTTGATCGGCAATGTCTTGCATGAGTTCATCCACCTTATCAATATCCCTGGCAGAAGGGGGTGGGGAAAATACATGATATTAATAATAGGAGAAATGTAAGAAATGAAAATAATGCATGTATGTGCATGTAAGAAAATAAAATAATAAAAATTAACATTGACAGGAGAAAGAAAAGTTTGCCAAGATTGTTCTAGCCAACAATCAAACAATTACTACAAGGAACACTATAGAAACTAGCCATCTACTCAGTACGTTTAAAAAAAAAAAAAAGACAGAATGGAGACAGAACCTTCAATCAGTTTGTGTTATGCCTGACAGTGGGAAGTATCCGCAAAACTCATGCGCTCAGTCCATGTGTCCACAAATTCTCAGCAGCTGACTACAATGATTTGGTTAGGCTGATCGTAAGTCCGCCATTAGCATCTCTGACATCTGAACTAGTTAAACAAATTATCTTTCAAACGCTTAAACTACAATGGTTTGCCCTTTTACCTGGGTCCCCGTTGGAGGACGACAACCTTCACTGATGCTGGGTTATGCGCATCTGGCTTCTGCTGGTCACTCATTGGAAGGGAGAGTCAGTACTGAATAAACCTTTGTGCACAGAATTCACATTAACCGGCCGGGAACACATGTTCCAGGTTAGCTAATGATGCTGACGGATGTGAAGTTACACCTTTGACAGCAATGTAAAATATCTATGTAGGTGCATGTTTCCTATTGAAAAGCTCTGCATTTAGACTCCAAGTATCACAACCACCTTAAATCACTAAAGTGGTGACTGTGCTTGTAGTAACCCTTTAAGGTAACATGTTTGTGTGTTTAAACAGATTTACAAATTAACGAGATTAAGGTCTTTTTCTGAACACTGTATATTTCATAACATTTTCACTGTGAATATGTGCATGTTCTCTCTACAGACTCAGTTTTAATTAACTAGAATTCATGGAAGTGATTTACCAAAAATGTAAATACTGCACTAAAATGCAGCCTCATGCTACATAACTAATCACTATTTCATACTCCATAACCTTTTGGACTATAATTCATCTGAAATAAAAAACTATCTTTAGATCGATTTTTCCTCCAAAAGTATTGTGTTGAAAACTGATTGTATTATTAAAAAAAATAAAACTATTTCAATCATCATTGTATCCATCTTCACATTCACGCATACAACTCCAGATCTTACTTACATGTTATCATGAGCGGCTTTCATTGCCTTGGCTGCAAAGCCCATGTTTTTAAGAACTTCTGTGTTTGTGTTGGCATTTTCTAAGGCTTCCCGTTGGAATTCAATGGTAGACAAAGTCCCGTCAATCTGCGCCAATTGTTTTTCATATCTCTTCTTGCGTTTAAGTGCCTGTAGTGCAGCTATGGACAAAAACAAACTGGTCAGTACAAGCATACCCTTATGGAGCAATAATTATATTTGCAAAGTATACTGTGAGGGGTATCTATCTCATTGTTAAGCACAAAATGTTAAAGGGACACTGTAGGCACCAGGACCATTTCAGCCCATTGAAGTGGTCTAGGTGCCAACTCCCATCACTCTTAACCCTGCAAGTGTAAGTATTGCAGTTTTTATAAAACTGTAATAATTACCTTGCAGGGTTAAGTCCTCCTTAGTGGCTGTCTATTAGTCCCTCTTGTGGCTGTCTATTAGACAGCCACTAGAGGAACTTCCGGCTTCTTAGACGACTGACTTGAGAACCTCCAGCGTCAGCGGAATCCCCATAAGAAAGCATTGAATAATGCTTTCCTATGGGGAGGTCTAATGCGCGCGAGAAGCATTGGCGGAGCCTGACCCAGCGCTGAGGGACATCGGCACTGGATTCAGGTAAGTGGCTGAACGAGTTTTGACCCCTTCAGCGACATGGGATAGGGGGCAGGAGGGAGGGGGCACTCCAGGATTCTACAGTGCCAGGAAAACTGGTTTGTTTTACTGGCACTGGAGAATTCCTTTGAAGGTTACAGAATACAAATACACAAAAAACAAGTCCTGCGCTCAATGACCATAGTACACAACAGCCCAAATACATACAGTAAAAAAAAAAAAAAAAGTTACCTGCGCTCTTCCTAAATCCCTAAGTCTATATTCTGTAAACATATAGTGATATACCCTGGGGAGACTGTTTAATGTACAGTACAAGAATCAGAACTACATATACTCACTGCACAGCACATAGTACAAAGAGGACCCCTGATTGTCGCTTTGCACACGGATGCTTGTATTAGTTGCAATTTGAAAAAATAGCTGCAGCTATAAGCCTGGCCATTTCCCTCCAATGTTAAGGTATAATCTGTCTGGTACATGAGAGGACAAAGCCTATTGGGAGGGCCAGTATTCCATTCAAAATGTGGGTGCAAATCTCCAAGTTCTGCTTCCAATTATCTCAAACATTCTAAAAAATAAAATAAAAATAATAGCCGCAACACCAACATAAATGAAAAAAGTTTTTTTCCCCCCCATGTGGAGTCTGCACGTTGAGATGCAAGTCACATGGCATGAGCAATAATTGCAAGGAGATGTCTCCTCCCAGTGACCTAACATTTGCTTAACAACGGCCCTTCCTGACGTTTTCTATACAGATAATCTCCAGGCAGTACAAGCCCTACCATAAATTTCCTTACTGCACCTGTTAGCCTTCACAATTAATCAGGCACAATGCAGTGGCTTACAGTATTTAGTAATATGGGATAAACACTCCTCACATCAACAGAATTAACTGAATGAATAGAAACTAGCTTCTCTGTGACTCAAGACAAAACTCAAAAACCACAAATGTGTTATGCAGTGAAAATGTTATGCATATTTTGAAAGAGTAAAAATATGGATTTTGACAGATCTTGAATAAGGAATGCATTTAACAGCTAGATAAAAAAGTAATTACCATATACATTCTGTGAACTAGAGAACTTTAAAATTTTAAATAACCAGCATCACTTTTCAAGGTCAGTGCACTGACAACCCCCAAGTAGCTCATCGCAGAGGTAATGGTGTGCCCACTTGGAAAAGATTACTGCTGTTGGATTACAGAGTACTCTTACTACCATAACAGCCAACGTTCAATGCAAAAATTATAGCGCGTTACATTTCCTGACCTCTGTCTTCTTGCACAGTGTGGCTTTGTAAATTCAGCAAACTAACCCTGGGATCCGTAACATTAAAGGAATTATACTTCATCCTTTGATATATTTGGTACTGGACAGGAGCAACCTGCTCATTTACCTACCCCACCGGAGTAAGAATGGCATGCATGTATGGTCAGCTGTCAGGGACACGCAGAATCGTGTTGTGAATTGTGTTGTGGCAGCTGCAATATGGCTGCCATTTGCTTATCCAACTGTTACAATCATATTCAAAAGGAACAGAGACTGGAGGCTAAATTACTTCTGTCATTAACTCCCGATAGACAGTGATTTATGGATAAGATGTGCCCATTGAACAGAATGAAAGGTTCTTGTCGGATCCTCTTCCTGGTCTGGTAGGAGCCCTGGAGGTGTGGAAATTTACAAAATTCTTCTTGTCCAAGGGACTAAAGCGGTAGCCCAATCTACTTGTCTATAATGATGAGCTACTTGCCCTGATACACAAAATAATTTCAGATTGGGCCCCTGTCTAGAGCATTTTACACAGACAGAATTATTTACTAAACTCTGAATTAAATCCAAATTGGAAAACGGCAATAAAAAAACGGATCTAGAAAAAATTCTCCAACTCAGTTTTAGTTTCATTCAGACTTAAAGGGACACTATAGTCACCATAACAACTACAGCTTATTGTATTTGTTCTGGTGAGAATAATCATTCCCTTCAGGCTTTTTGCATCAAAAACGGTTTTTTTCTGAGAAAATGCAGGGTTTACATTACAGGCTAGGGATACATCCACTGACAACTCCTTAGATAGCTGCTAGAGCCTGTCCCTGGTGACATTTCATTGTAAAAACAGTGTAAACAGTGTTTACATTATGGTCTACTAACACCTCTTGTGGCAGTCACTAAATGTGCTTCCTATCTCAGTGCTGCACAGTAGGCAGTAACTACATTCAGTGTCTCCACACTCTACATAGAGGCACTACCTTTTGTCGCACATGCGCAATAGCCTCCCAATGCTTTGTGTAGGAAAGCACTGGCTCGCCCGAGATATTAAAGATTGATCTCAGCCATGGAGGCAGAGACACACTCACAAATATGTCCATCGAGCCTCCCTACCTTTGGGAGAAACTAAGTGGATTATTTCCCCTGGGTCCAGTGGGGCTTGTGTAATCTTCAAGCTCTTCTTGCTCTGCTCCCTCTCGGGGTGTTTAGCAATGTGGGGTTGGAATTACGTCATATTCCAACATCACAGCAGAGCGAGGGAGCAGAGCACAAACAGCAGGAAGATTTTTGCTCCCACACCGCGCAGCTCCACACTGCCCCCAAAACGACCGCCTCTAATCACCCTCAGGCAAACACCCGGACGCCAAGACAAAATGTCCAGTCGCCATGATGACCTGGCGTCTGGGATTTGTCACGTCCTGGTGTAATGTGTGTGCCATGGCTGTGTACAATGAGAGAGTGTTCTTTGTTTTGACACCACCCACAGCTTTCTGTAGGTAGTGGGCTATATGATACATGGTGATCTAGAAGGGTTAAATTTCCTTGTGGTCCAGTGGGAAGCATGTGATGCCCCACACAGTACTCACTGAGTGCAGACTGGGAATACTGCCGGTTGCGGCCTGACTCGTTAGTGAGCTCTGGACCACGAGGGAGTGATTAGTGTGATCTGCAACCATAAAAGGTGCAGAATACAGGATATCTGCCCTGTCCCTGATCACACATATCCCTTATAGTAGTTAAAGGTAGACAAGAAAAACAAAACAAAAAAAACAGCTTTTTTGGCACCTGGAATTACATGTCCCAGGTGTCATGGAAAATGAATACCCCCACCTCTGCTTGCTCCTTCTGCTTGCATTGTATTAGCTAAAGTAGCAATAATCTTGAATGTATTTATTCCTTTGTCCATTTTGAATGCATTATCTTTATCAGTGATTCTAACGCACAGGGCATTACCTTGGCGTCCTATTCTTCAATTGTAAAATGATCTAAGTGACCCATTTTTCAATTGTTATGTGATGTATAACAATTTTATGTTACGACGCAGAGGTTAAGAACTACAGATCTATATAATAAGATTTTAAAGTACTGTACATTCAAATAATACAATTTCAAAGTATAATTTTAAATGTGCATTGCTGTTTTGTCACCGTTCAGCAGGAACACAAAATACCACAGTCCAAGAGACTGTTGGCAGTATTTGTTATTACCTCCATTCTTACACAAACAATGTGGCAAGATATAAACAGAATATTGCAACACACAAAGCATGGCTTGGTACATACAGAGGGGTGGAGGAGGGGGGAAACTCACACATTTGAATTGTGAAGAATTCCAACTACTGCAATGAACATTTTTATGCCACATTAATGGAATCCTCAAGCATTATAAATACATTTATTTAAAATTCTTAAGTGTTTGAGTATATGCCCTCATGCACGGCACCTGCAATCCCTCTCATAGAAAAGCGTTAAATCTCTAACAAAATATAAGAGCATCCTCACAGGTGTCTGACAACTGGCAGGGTGAAACTTTGCCGTTTTATAAAAGAGCGGATTTATGTTGAAATTAGCACTTTTATAAAGTGTTAACCTGAAGTGCTGCTCTAAAAGTAGTATGGTGACTCACCTAAACCTCCAAAATGGGTATTTCATAAAAGATAAGATCGTTATGAAATAGTCGCATTGATTGTGTTGGGATTTCACTGAAATCCCAAAGCAGTCAAACAATATACTAAGAGAAAGTTGGCACTACTTTGTCTTCGTAATTTTCCTATACTTGACAAAACTTGTCAAGGCAGTGCTACCTTTTGTCAAGCTTTGTCAAACCCCCAGGATTCTACATAGACATCAGTGTTATACTCTCACACATACGCGAGTACAACATTTATATGGGCTCCTGGCAGATGAAGTGCTAGGAGTTTAAAGAGACCGGCAGGAAGACCATGGCATGAGGGACAGGTTCAGGTAAGTATAACTTACCTTCCCCTGCACCCCGCGGCAACCGGACACCCGGCAGCAAAGTTAGCATCAATGGGTCTTTGCAAAGAATCTAGATGGTGACAGATCCGCTTTAAGAATAAATCAAGCATATTTAGTTTATGTGGTCCTGAATGAAATGTCAGAAGGGCAAATAAAATAAGAGTACTTTACAAAACAAACATAGTTCAAACTGAAGCATTTCAACAAAAATAGGCTAATCCATATTCTGCTCTGGTTCAGCACACAAACAGCAGCTTTCATGTTGCACAAAAGTCAGATGTTAGGATCTTTTTAAAATGTTTTATTATTTACGCATGTCTATTTTATGGAATGTTATGCAACAAGAAATATAGTATGCTAAATGCAAATCTATAACTAGTGAGTTTTTTTTTTTTGCACAACTCAATAAGAGTTAACTATAGGTAGTGCTTCTTAATGCTTTAAATATTCCAATTTTATTTTTATACTGTATGCCTGGCTGTCCTGGCACTGCCAAGGCATAACATGTAAATAAATGTAACAGTGCCACATGCCCAAGGAAAGAAAGTCAGGACGAACATGAGCTTGTAGACTATTTCTCTGTAGATGACCTAGCATGTATAGGTGTGCCCAAACATCATGGAGAGATAATGTCCTAAATGTGGAATTGCTGGAGTAGTAAGTGTGTTTTCTTTAAATTTACTTCCACTACACTACTTATACTCACCCCAGTAAGCATTTGAATAGTGGTTATGGAGATGAGAGAAGCAGTTCTGTCACCAAAAGTAAAGCAGTTCTTTCCCAATAATCTGCACAGCTATTCTTCATTGTTAGCAATGTTCTAAACTGTCTGGTACGAATTGCTGAACATGGGTATTTTTAAAGCAACGTAATTGCTGGGATTAAGAACAATGTGGTATAGCTGGCTGACCTCAAGAGTTTTGTAAAGCTCTAGCTGGACTCAAAAGTAAAGACATATAAACAGCTACTACACCTCTCCCCCCCGCCACGGTATGGCATTGCCAAGAGATACCAACAACGGTTTGGTAACAATGGTTTAAAATTGCAAGTCTTAAAAGGGACACTACATGCAACGTGAACAGTAGTTTGGGTGCAGTACCTCTGCCTGTTTAACCCTGCAATGTTTATATTTCAGGGTTAAAGTCCACCTCTGGATGGGATGAAAGCGAAGAAAAACTACATTTTTTACTTTATACTTACATGATTGTATTTCTAACGCTTTAGTGTTCCTTTCAAAGGGATACACCAAAACAACTTTAGCTTAATGAAGCAGTTGTGGTGTATAGATCATGCCCCTGAAGTTTCACAGTTCAACTTTCTGCAGTTTAGGAAATCACTTTTTTTTTTTTTTTTTTATACAGCCATAGCTGCATGTGACCTGCACAGCCTTCCTAAATGCTTCCTGAAAAAGAACCGAGATATTTTAGGTTCCCTTATTGCAGAGTTTGCTTAATCTAGAATGCTCTTATCTACTGCTCTGCTAATAGCCTCCTGGAGCCTGCATGAGTCCCCTGTGTGTAATTACACATAAGAGAGAGTACAGCACTGACTTGGGCGACAAAACCTGAAGACAATCCCCCTGAAGAGAGATGGCAGCAGCCGCAAGATACAGCTTTGGAGAAGTAGATTTTATTTATATTTTTATTGTAAATACACAGCTTCATATAAGCAAAATCTACCTTCCCGCTGCATCCCCAGAAACATAATGAGCAATGTGAAAATCAAGGGTCTTTGTAAAATATGCAAAGATACTAGAAGGTGACAGAGTTGCTTTAAATAAATTGGCTGAAAAGTTACTATATATAAAAATGTTTTAAATGTCATGCATCCAAGTCAGTCTGCCTTACCATCTGTACTTATAACATACAAAAAGTATTTTCAAAGCAAAGAACAAAACCCTTTCCTAAAAAGACAAGATGTACTTAAAAACCAGACAAAATAATATAGTACCATCTATACCAGCAACCAAAAAAGACACACAAAAAGCAGCAGGGAAATGAATATGTTTGTAGAAATTTTAATGCAAACATTACTATTAAAAATAAATAATGAAAACATGACAACTCAGACGCAAGATGCTCATGCTGTCAATGACTGTACTACTTGCCAATAAATTTACAGAATAAACACACTGAGATTGTGAGAACTCTTCATACTATCAAGCATTGTGTCCTATACAAGCCAAGCGCATTCTGGTGCTTGTAATCAGAAGCAGGAAATGCAGCTCTAAGAAAGTGATATTTGAGAACAAGTCAAAGCAAAAGACGCATGTCCTACTATGATTAAATAAACTAAAACTACCTCCCTCTAGAGATCTTATGATAGCCCGGTCTGCAGTGCCAGCATTGATTTTCACTAGGTCTCTTTTTACAGTCCTGAGGGTTTTTTTTAAACCAAACCCTTGCTTTCGCTAACTACAACTCATGGGTGGGGGAAGGATGATTCTAAAGTCTGACGAAACAAAGCATATCTAAACCTAAACAAGTGGACTCTGGCCCCAACTTAAAGGATTACTTTAAGCACCATAACCACATCAGCTAACTGCATATGTTATGATGCAAGATTCCTGACTTTTTTTTAAGTAAATTATGTATTTTAATTGAAAGTAACTTTTAAGGGGAAATAATTAGGTTTTGCTAAAATTTAGTAAATACAGTACTTTTTTTTGTTGAAGGGTAATTAATTATGTGCACTGAAAAATAATAGGTCTAGTGTATTTTGAAACATACCAATAACCATTTGATTTGACAGCTTTATAAATACTGCTTGACCTCTGGCACGACTGACTCAGAGCAGTCTCGCAGGTGAAATCAGCACTGTCACATTAGAGCGAAGACATGACAATGGATGACAGTACTTAAGGAGCTGTACTGTCTTTAGAAATGTCATACATAACCATGGAAAATAAATATCTTTTTACCCCACACCCCTTTACTATGGAATATTTGGTGTAATTTTTGTTGTTGAGATTATTTCCTGAATCTTCTCTGTTAGCCAGATTCTCGGCCCTATTGCATATGCCTATACCATATCCTCATACCTTCCTTGGGCCCCTAGATGTGCCAAACTCTTGTGTCTCTCCACCCACTGTCTAATCCCTCGTGTTTGCCCCGTCTCATCCTTATTCTTGTCCCTACGTTTTGTTTCAATGTCACTTAACATTGTTGGAGGTTTACTAGGAACTTCAAATTCATAATTTTATTAAGTCACTTGTTCTCACTCGCCAAATTTAACATCTCTACTCCCCCAATCTTCCACCTTCGCCACTTGTTGCACCACAGTCTGCCACCCTCACTACTTGTAGCCCCATCACAACTTATTGCCCCCTCCCCTGACACCCTCACCACTTGTAGCCCCCACACTCCCCCCGTGGCACCTTCAACACTTGTTGCCCCCCACACTCCCCAAGTTGCACCATCACCACTTGTTGCCCCCACACTCCCCAAGTTGCACCATCACCACTTGTTGCCCCCTCCCCTGGCACCATCACCACTTGTTGTCCCCCACACTCCCCAAGTAGCACCATCACCACTTGTTGCCCCCTACCTTCCCCCCATGGCACCATCACCACTTGTTGGGGCGCACAGTCAGTCAGCCTGTCACTCCTCTTGTTACCCCCCTCCCCTCCCGTTGCCCCCAGTCTCACCCCTCTTGTTCTTGGTGCCATGTTTCTTGGCTGTCAGCAGCTCCTGCTCGATCTTTTTCTCCAGGAACTCCTGTTTCTTGGTGAGCATCTCCTCGGTGTCCCGGAGTTTCTGTATCGCTTCCTGGGGGGTCGGGCCTTTCCCACCCTTCCCCCCGGTACCGAAAAGCTTTCCGATCAGCGACATGTCTCACCCGGCGCCCGTGTATCCCCCGGACCGTGCTGTTAGGTTACCGCCGCCCGCTGCTGTCACGGCCGGAGAGACCCGAACACTAAGCGGCCGCTTCCTCACAACGACGACAACAACCGTACTCCCACCAGTCTGCCCCTGCGCGGTGACGTCACGGTGTCACGCGAAAGCCCGTCCGCTCTGCGAGCCTCACACGCACAATTCGCGGCGGCCATTTTACTGAAGGGCATCTCTCGCATACACGGCCACACGAAAACGCATTCTTACGTATATCTGTCCTGCTGAAACAACTACTCAGCCCTGTCACATTTGATGGTTAAACTAGCGCAAAGACTGCTTCTTTACCGGCCCTTTTGCTGGACTTATACAAGTAGTTGCCCAAATCAAAGATGGCTGCTGACAGTTTGATAGGAGACAGGAGTGCTAAGCCAGCCCCTCCCATTCTGGGCTGATGACGTCTACTTGTAGTAGTTATAACCAGGTTGAAAGTATTTACTTAAAAAGTCATATTTTAAGAAACCACCATTGGGAGTATTATTAATTTAACTTTTTATTGCGCCTACGGGCAAGCGCTCTTCATTTTGTAGAACTACTGACGTTTGGCAGCGCGGTCTCTAGTGTTTAGAACTCTCTCGTTACGCAATGCTGGAAGTGCCCTGCCCGCTGAGGCTACGCAAAGAGCGCAGGGAGGAGGGGGGCGGGGTTTGTGACGTCACGGGGTTACCCTGCAGCAGGAACTCTCAGACGTGCACATGGACAAGGAGATAGCAAGGGATGACGTGATAGGTCATGTGACACAGCCCTGCCCCATGATAACACAACATTAGTGTTAGTACTATCATCATTACTCTATATTTAGACATTGCTCACAATATTTTCCAGCAGTTGGGAAAGTTTTTTTTTTTTCCATTTTATATCTTAACAGTTTATGACTGGGTTGGACTGTTCTGATTTAAGATTCCATTACTGGAGGATTATTTCATTAGTGCCCTATTTACTTATAAATAATAATAAAATAAATACATATATATATATATATATAAAATACATCAATGTGTATGGTGTAGCGCTAAAGAGAAATACAGTACAGTGAAACAGTAATATTCCATTACATTACATTTGTTAATATATAAAAATATTACAGGAACACTAGAACGGTAGGAATACAAACTGCATTTCTAATGATATAGTGTCCCTGTCCCTAGGTCTACATAAGCTTTACTTACCTTTTTCCAGAGGTGAGTCTTTTACTCGCCTTCTGGGACGTCACAAAGGTGGCATGGCCTCTTCTGAGACGGTGCGATCCATTTCACCTCCTAGAGACCTCATGCTCATGCACGGTGAGTGCCTAGCGCACATTCAAACTTCCCCATAGGAAACCATTGAGTCAGTGCTTTTCTAATGGGGCTTTCAAGTCACCTGTCCTAAAAAAAAACAGCAGATGAAGATGAGATGATGTGGTCTGAGTGACTATAGTGTACATCTAAATTATTTATTACTTTGTTAGGGGAGCTGTATGCACTATAACTACTACAGATCATTATTCTATGTTAAAAGTTTTCCAAGCAGTTTCCCACAAGCACAGGATTCCTTAGGTGCGGTAAACCTGACTCAAGCTTGCAGTATTGCATAAGACTAAGTGGAAGTTACATTTCGACATTAGCAATGTATATTTCGTCTCAATTCCACTCTTAAATGGCTTAATACACAACCAGGGAAGGCATCTGCAGCCTAGTCCTGTAGTGTTTATAGAGCTTAGAGTGCCCCTGTATTAAGAAGTGGAGGCTGGTTTATTCACTTCCTTATTAATGGCTGGAGATGCAGCTGGATTTGATCAGTGCCTGGCATCTAATGGGGCTATATGGGTAGGCTTAAAGGACCAGCTTAATGAAGGGGGTGCCAGGTCCAGCTAGGGTTAACGCTTTTTTCTATAAACATAGCAGTTTCAAAGAAACTGCTTTGTTTACAATAGGGTTAATCCAGCCTCTAGTGGCTGTCTCATTGACAGCCGCTAGAGGAGCTTGCGTGCTTCTCACTGTGATTTTCACAGTGAGAAGACGCCAGCGTCCATAGGAAAGCATTGTGAATGCTTTCCTATGAGACTGGCTAAATGCGCGCGCAGCACATGCCGTGCATGCGCATTCAGCCAAGGAGGAGGAGGAGAGCTCCCCGCCCGGCTCTGGAGAAAAAGGTAAGTTTAACCCCTTCCTCACCCTAGAGCGTATGTTTTCCTGGCACTATAGTGATCCTTTAACAAGTTGGGAGCTGCATCTTCAAACATCACCAGCTGCCACTGTCACTAGGGTTACTACTGTGTGTTGCTACAATTAGAGATACAAAGCTAACTGCCTTTTATATTGGTTTGTTTATATTGTATTGTATTTTTCCAAATCGTACAGCCCTGTGGAATATGTTGGCACTTTATAAATAATAGTAATAATAATAATAATTAAAATGTGTTCTAGAATAATTATAAAAACAAATCGAAATTTATAATGCATCATTATTGTGTGTCAATTCTTAAAGGGCCACTGTAGGCCTTATGTTATAGAATGTGTCCTCTTTTTTCTTCCATTTGCAATAGAAATGGGCACTTATATAAATTAACCTAGTTACACCCCTGGCTGTCAATTAGACAGCCAGTCCCGTTGCTTCCTAGTTCAGTGGAGCTAAACTCAAGAAACAGGTCATTGCTCAGAGCTCTGCACTTTTTGCAAGCTGTTTTAAATATAACCACAATGAATAAAAAATAAATACATATATAGATGCTTAAACAGTGATTTATGTATAGGGGAGGAGGGAAGGGGTGTATTTGGGCAGTGAAATTATCCTTTTAAAGTTTCTCTTTTAAGCAGGAATTCTTTCAGTCTTAGCTGCATATACACTGCATTGTGTATATAGTTACTTTAGGCTATGCTGTCTGTTAGTCATAGCAGGAAGTAACCTGATTCTATTTAGCTGCAGTTTCAGCAGATACAACCCAAGTCACATGCTCTGTGACCTAATCCTCATGTGACATAGAAACATTGGCAAGTGATTCAGACAGAGATATGGCAATCTGGTCCTGCACCCCAATTTAAAGAGGGTGGGGTGCGGTTAACAGAATCTTTTTTTGTGGGATGATTAATTTTAACTAATTTTGTTGAGATTTTTTATTTAAAATATTTTTTTATTGAGAATGAGCAGAGAGTTACATGGAATGCAATGCACAACGATTATATATTCAATGCTCTCTCTCCCAATATTTTATGTATTTTTTTTGTAAAAGGAAATGTTTTTTTGTTTTTATTCAATACTGTTTACTATAAGAGTACTGGTGAGCCAAAACAAATAATAATATTTTAATATTATGTTTACTTATTCCCTATATTTAACAGGGACAGACAGATTTAGTGCAGATTAAATTTGTGGTGCAGAAAAGTTAGATCACCTGATGTTGTAGAACTACAACTCCCATGATGCTTTGCATGCTTTTGGAATATCTTTATCATGACAAAGCATCATGGAAGCTGTAGTTTTAGAACAGCTGGGGCTTTACCTTTTAGGCAACTCTGTAGTAAATGATTGAGTTCACTACATTTATAACCACTTTGATGTTGCCCCTAATTTCTGTGGTTTTGTGTATTTTTTTGCATGATTTTTATACACGGTGGTTTGCTGTACTATTTACTATCACGTTAGCTATCACATTCCTCTTTCTATAAATCCCCAAAAAACTCTAGGTCAAAATGGGGGGCACAACTGTCTAATTACTAAAAAAAAAAGTTTTCAAAATGGTCTAGTCTCTAAAAAGAAAAACCTGTAAGACAAGGGGGGCAAAGACAGTCACTTCCCTTGCAGTATGTCATATACCATCATGGCACATCCCTGTATGTCACAGATTATTTTACGATAGGCTGGTTTTGTAGCTTTGTGCAGCCAACACATTACCGAGTTGTGTCTAAGGTGTTTTTTTTTTTTTTCCTTTTCTGAAAACACCTAACTGGTCAATCCTTAAATCCTAGACTGGTAGGGTTGCCTTCAGGACTGGTTTGGTAACCCCTGGGATAAGAATTGTAGGAGATATTGCTGGACTATAGAGCATGTATGCACATTTGTGCTCCCAGGAATGTGACTGTTCCCCTTTAAGCCAAGACCAATAATCTACAATAAAGTGGTTAAAATTTAATCCCGAGAAAATCTTTATTAAAAAGGAAATGTTCGTTTTGAGTGGTGGTGAGTGCCTCCATCTTTTATGTTTTAAGCCCTTTGTACGTGTCACAGATTTAAATAGTGTACCGCACATCATTTCAAATGGAACAAGATAATTTTAGAGATGTTTTAAGGATGTGTGTGAAGGTGTGGCTTCTGAATAATTTTAGGTGACTTCCTAATAATTTATTCAAGTAAAGTGTAATTTAGAACATTATAACGCATCTTGTTTACATATACTGATTTCTAAACACACTTATTGTAGTCTAAAGACACATTACTGTGAGTATTATAGCTGTGGAGTTCTGTTATACACTCAGACACCCCAACAATATGGAGCTCTGGGAAAAGGGTAATTAGTACAGGCCGTAGGGACAGAGTTCAAAATAGTGACCCAGACCACTTCATCTCATTGAAGTGATCTGGGTGAAGTGGCCCCTGTCCCCGTAATCCTGCAATAGAAAACATTGCAGTTTTAGAGAGGTGCTACCTGGTCTCTAAAAGAGTTTAACTCCTTGAAACGGCATTAGACGTCCTCATGCAAAGCATCTTCAAAATCCCCATAGGAAAGCAAATGTTTCAATGCTTTCCTACGGGGTAGCTCTAATACGCGCGGCACTTGTCACTCCTGTACATTAAGTTTCCCCGTCGGCATGATGTTGTGGAAGGAGAAGAGTTTTTAGCCCTTTCACGACCACAGGTGAGACCTCATAGGTTAGGGACTGGGCAATTTTCTTGTATTCTGAATACAGTTTTTAAATCCTAATACTAAAGTGTTCCTTTGAATAGAGACACTTGGGAGGTATGGATATGGAATGGTGAGAGCACACACTATGCAAACCTTCTTTCACTTTACCTATTGAGATACTGGTTGGGACTGTTGATGTGACGGTGCGGCTCCCTCCTGCCTGCAAATTAATTTTTTAATATTACGTTTTCCTTTGAATATTTGGAAGGGGGTACTGGAGTATTAAAAATATTTAAATGAATACAAGATGAATTAGTGAGATTAAAAGTGAAAGAACAAGGGGTGGGGAAGGGGGTTAAAATAAAACCTTGTTAAATGCTTGGACTAAAGTTGTTGTGTTTGTTTTTTTTTTCCCTGATGAAAGCGTTAAATATTTCCAAGGCAGCAAGCCTAGTTTGCATTATCCTTTGTAAATTTTCTTATTTGTATTCACACAATAAGATAATTACAAACCAATGTTTCTGTTCTGACTAAACTCATACCTACATCTTTTAGTTCTGGGAAGTTAAGAACAAACCATTTCAGTCTGCACATTTACTCAACAGAAATTTGTGCCAGCAATTCTACAATCCTCCCTCAGCTGTAGTGTGTACTTACAATAGTCAATGGTTACTAGACAATTTATGCATGTAAAAAACATGTGTGCAAACATTTTTACTCATTCCAGTTTGGTTAGTTGGCAGGCAATCTGCACGCTACAGCAAAAGATTATAATAGTGGGTTATAATGTTTGTCTAATAACCAATAAACACAATAGATCACTAGCTCTTTAAACTAGAAGCAATTCAGACGACATTCCAGTGCTTGCTTAAACCACTTACAAGTGTTAAATCTACCCAAAAACAGGCAAGACCTGGCAACCTTTGACCTGGATACAAACAAAAAATACTTTTTAAGTTTGCACACAAATTTTAGCGATCTCAGCATGGAGGGTACTTACTTGTGTGGGGGACGCAGTATATTAATTTAAGAGGTGTAGTCTACAAGGTGTAATATGTCCTTTAAAGGGACACTATAGTCACCAAAACATCTTTAGCATAATGAAGCAGTTTTAGTGTATAGATCATGCCTCTGAAGTCTCACTGCTCAATTCTCTGCCATGTAGGAGTTAAATCACTTTTGTTTCTGTTTATGCAGCCTTAGCCACAACTCCCCTGGCTGTGACCAACAATGTTTCATATTCAAATCAGATGTAACTTACTTTAAAAGTTTATTACTTTTTTTAAATTCTTTATTTTTGTTGTGCAAAGGTTTGACATACAAGCTTGTTATACCACGACAGCAAATACAGGTATTGCAAGAGGTATTAAACTGTTGTATGTGATAGAACTGCACATTTTTTAAAGTAATAAACAGGCTGATACAAGTTATGTCAGCTAGTGAAAGGGCAATAAGGTTGAATGAGACATATTATTTAGGCTGACATTAATATAGTCAAAGAAACGAAAATAAAATAGTGTCACACGCTAATCTATAGTTGATTCTGTAGCTTAGTAGCCACTGAGTGCTATTCTTGGTGTAGGAGCCTATGAGAAGAATAGATTTAAATATAAAAGTTAACCTATCACAAGCTAAGATTTATCAATGGCAGCAAAAGGAAAAGGAATGTCTGATAGATAGGCTGGTGTGGCCTGGAACAAATGCCTCTAAGGGTAGGATCCCACATGGGCCAATCTGGCTATTTCAACTAAGGGAATCTGAAGGGCACAAGAACACAAAACCTTAACGATATACAATTATAACAATGAAAATTGGAGGCATTAACCACAGGTTATGCAGTCGGACAGTGCTTGATAACAGTGGTGAGTAATGCAAGTCCCCGTGGCCGTTTGCATCAGTCAGCCGATGCCCACAGTGGGGGCCTGATATGCCAGCCTAGTGTGGAGGTGCAGCTTCAGGGTATGCTGCTTTGCAGTGGGTCAGCCAGTGGGCATAGAAAAGCAGCTTTCATTCCTCTGCTGAGGTGTTAGGCCAGGGCAAGCTTCCACAGCTTTCCTTCCAGGACTGTGGCTTCAGGGTGTCGGAGTTCTTCCAAAGCAGGAAGCAGCATAAGGCCCTCTGTCGTTGTACTTTAAATGTTTTTATTTCCTGCTCTGTAAATTGAGCTTTAATTACATGCAGGATGCTCCTGTAGAGTTTAGCAAGCTATTAACAGAGCAGGAGATAAGAAATTATAAATGAAATAGAATTTGCAGTAAAGGATGTGTAAACATTAGATGACTCTTTGCAGGAAGTTTCTAGGAAGGCTGTATAAAGTGATTTAACTCCTAAATGGCATAGAATTGAGCAGTGAGATTGCAGGGACATGATCTATACACCAAAACTGCTTCATTAAGCTAAAGTTGTTTTAGTGACTAGTGTCCTTTTAAGGTATATATTCCTTTAAGGTACAAATAGCCAAACTGGAAGAAATCTCTAAGTCAGCTTTCCTTTCAGTTTAGCTGCTTTGGCCTTAAATCTGAAATTCTCGTTGAAATCACTCTGTGAATAACCTTGTATGTTTCTCATGACTCCATTGCCACCAATAGGAGACTCTTGTTCAGAGGACATCTGTGGACACTAGTACTATTCATATAGCTGCTCTGCATCCCAGATTAACCCCTTTAAGGACCACTATAGGCACCCAGACCACTTCAGCTTAATGAAGTGGTCTGGGTGCCTGGTCCAGCTAGGGTTAACCCTTTTTTTTATAAACATAGTTTCAGAGAAACTGCTATGTTTACACTGAGGGTTAACCCAGCCTCTAAAGCCTCTAGTGGCTGTCTCATTGACAGCCCCTAGAGGCGTTTGCGTGATTCTCACTGTGAAAAATCACAGTGAAAAGACGCCAGCGTCCATAGGAAAGCGCGCGCGGCTCCTGCGCCTTCAGCCGATGATGTTGCTAGGAAGAAGGAGAGGAGGAGGAAAGCTCCCCGTCCGGCGCTGGAGAAAGGTAAGATTTTAACTCCTTCCTCTCCCCACAGCCCGGTGGGAGGGGGTCCCTGCGGGTGGGGGCAACCTCAGGGCACTATAGTGCCAGGAAAACAAGTATGTTTTCATGGCACTATAGTGGTCCTTTAAGGACATGTGTGACATGTCACGATTCCCTTTTATTCCAGAAGTTTGGTCCTGAAGGGGTTAAAGGAACACTTTAGTTTACATTTTCTTTTCTTTTTTTTTGCCAGAAATCACTCATTAGGATGGAGTAATTTTGGTACTTAGAATGTTTCTGTGATACACAACAGTCAACGGTCCTACACACTGATATAATTTCAAGGTTCTGGACATCTTATTCTTCACTAACCTTATGGAAAAACAGCAGAACTATGACATTTAGTAAAAACGGTGGAATCAGAACTGTGGTGTAGTAGTTTTGCTCTAGAATCCAGTGCAGAGTGGTTAATAGTTTGTTTTACCACAGTCACACTTCCTATGTGGTTGCATCATAAACACTCCAGAATAGGGAAGAGATCTACTAAGTATAATGCAATAAGTCTCACTTTTGTTGTATATACCATCATCCTATCTCTCTCTCTGCTCCTGACACGGATCTTGATTTGTTGCATCCTACATTATTTTGCATTAGTGTGTAGTTCTTGGGGCCTGGGAGAAATTTTACACAGTAGTTATGGATTTAACTACAAACACAAAAACAAAATTCATATGTTTATATATATTACAAGAAATATATACTTAAAAGGTAAACTCAAACATTATGAATAAATACAGTGTTTTGAAGTGATCATGATGCTTGCAGTCTGTATGTGAAATGCGGTACATACCGAGATAGTTTATATTGCTGCTGCATTAGTATGTAATTAGCCAGTGCAGAATAAGTCATATTCCATGTACAGTGGCATTCATTTGCCGAGAGAAAAAAAAGTGTATCAGGTGATGCATGTCCCTTTAATTTTAATTGACAAACATCACCCAACATTTTAAACAGTGTTGTTGTATATATGTTGAATACATTTATACACAATTGTATAGGTACATCATACATGTAAGAGTACAAGTATGTATATATTTTTAAAAATACACAATATACAATATATTTGAAGCACACAAAACATATATACCCTTCTAACGAGGGTGAGAAATTCAATGCACTGAGTGGCATTGGTTTTAGTTAACAGATGCTCATTGCTTTCTACTTCACTGTAGAAAAAAATGGTTATAGTCTTTACTATTTTTTGAAAGGCTGGTCTCAGCCCTTTTGATAAACGAAAGTTGAATGGGAGAAGGTGAAAGTGACAATGTTTGCGCTTACATATTTAGAACTGTCAGAAGCTTGACCTCTTTCCATATCAAACCGTAAAATCAGCGATGCACTAGTTTAGCCCTGATGGCTCGGTAACAGTCATGTTTTTAGGAAAATCATGACATACAGTTTCTTATCAGAATCTCTCATCTGTGTGATGCATCCTGCAAAGTATATCCTGTATAACTCACACGGTCTCCGCTAATAACTTCAGTTTACATCAGTGTAGTTGTGATGAATACAAAGCAAAAAAATGTGCAGCTAACATGATGCAGAATCTAGCACATTTAAGACGAGAATCTTGGGGGACACCATGCCATGTCATGGTTCTTGCCATTTGTTAGTGCGTTTGTAATTTTTGGGGAGTTATTTGTGCTTCTGGTTTAGCAGGCCCTGACTACACTGATATCTGGTATGCTGACCTCTGGCCTTGTTTAATCATTCAAGAGTATTTCAAGAAGTTCTAGAATCATTTACGTATTCTCTTGACTGTAGGCTAGTTTTGACTAGGATACTCTCTTTCCCTTTTGTCTTGCCTTTTTCGAGTTCCTAGTGCTAAACCTGGTCCATGCTATGGACCATTAAAAAGCTGCTATCATGTTGCTTCTTTTGACATCCTGACCAGTACTGATCCATAGTTGCATGCTGGGATACTCTTGCTCCCGACAGTATGTCAAGCAGTTTGTTTATCGAGAATCAAGGAATAATATCCTGTAATTTAGGACCAACAATGCACAAAGTAGATACAACAAATTTCCTGACCCCTATATCTTCGCTTTCTGCTCACGTTGATCTGACAGGGATCCCCCAATTTCCTTTTTTTACCATCAAAATATTAAGCCAATATTACAGTCAGGAGTGTATGGGTAATAAATGCAGACCCGGAGTAATATTGGAGATAAATCCAATGAAGATTTGTAGTTTTTCAAATCTTTGTCTAGATCAATAACAGGAATTGTAAGCAGCCCATCTTCTGCAAAGACTCCAAGACTTTGATTAGTTTAACTGTAATTATACAGAGCGCCACATCTACTAGATAACTTTCTAGAATTCATAGTGAGAAGGGAAGGTAAACAGCGAACTTAATCTAATCCATCATCGTAGCTCATTCTGGGTTCTGGATAAATATAGGTACTGTCAGCTCTGCTAGTGTCACAGTGGTTGGGGTTATACTGTCTACAACAGGAGGCACTGTCAAGTTCTCATTGGGGCCACCAGCACCACTGACCACTATGGACAGTACAGCGTCCGACTGCTGAAATTGCTCCTTTCTTTGGCCTCCAGTATTATCAAGAGTTTCTGTACTGCTCTTCAATTCTGTCAGTGTCACCGTCACCTCTGGTACAGTTTCATCTTCTGGTTTCCCTCGTCCTTTCCGCCTTTGGATTTTCCTAACCTGTAACAAACACAAAAAAAATCAAAGGAACACTCCAAAAACTGAAAAAAGGAACATTTCAAACACCTAAAGCACCTTAGCTTGTTGAAGTGCTTTATGTGTGAAGAATTTGTCCTTTTTTTCATTTTACAAAAAGTGCAGATTTCAATACAAATGGGCACATTTATAAATTGATCTTATTACACCCCCCCGGCTGTCAGGCAGTTGGTCCTGTTACATCCTGGATGTTTAACTCAGTGGAGATATACTAAAGAGGCAGCAATTGCTCAGAGCACCTGCCTTGTAAAAACTTTTCATTGAGCTGCATTGGGAAGCTCCGTAGCGCTTTACAATATTATAACGGGGGATTTACCTATAAATAGGACAATTACAAGAAAACGTAGGAATGATAGGTTGAAGGGGACCCGACTCAAATGAGCTTACAGTCTATAGGAGGTGGGGTGTAAAACACAATAGGACTTTTAATCAATGTCACCGAGCGTATACAATCGATTCCTGGATGATGAATTAAAGCAAATATTGCACAAATAAGTACTACTATAACATAGCAAATTGGAAACACAACAAATACATGTGTATACTATACCCAAATGTCTAATTTGAAAATACAGAGAAGTGACTTCTAGCACCAGAACAACTTTGCTTTTGTTCTCAGAGAGTTATCAAATTAGCCAAATTATTTTGTACGCACAAATGTGTGTAATAAAAAAAACAAAAACAAAAAAACAATGGATAGCACAGACGCGGTCTTAGTGAGTGAACTAGATGGAACCAGGTATCTGCAGCTGAAAGACCATTTAAACTCTACCCCCTGCTGCACTGACTTCACATCCCCACACATTATCTGTGTGTATCAAAGTGCTTGCTTAGAAGCATAGCAAGCACGAGCGACTGCGGTATGTACGCCAGTGCATGCAGATACACATACATTTAAAGGACCACTACAGACACCCAGATCACATCAGCTCAATGAAGTGGTCTGGGTGTCAGGTCCCTCTAGTTTTAACCCTGCAGCTGAAAACATAGCAGTTTCAGAGAAACCGCTATGTTTCACTGAGGGTTAATCCAGCCTCTAGTGGCTGTCTTATTGACAGCCGCTAGAGGAGCTTCCGCGATTCTCACTGTGAAAATCACAGTGAGAAGACGCTGAACGTCCATAGGAAAGCATTGAGTAATGCTTTCCTATGGGCTGTTTGAATGCGCGCGCGGCTCTTGCCGCGCATGTGCGTTCGGAGCTGAGAGGCGGATCGGGGCGGAGGGATCCCCAGCGCCAAGAGAGTCTGGCGCTGGAGAAAGGTAAGTGCTGAAGACACACACACTCTCACAAACAGACGCATACACACTAGCTAACAGACACACACATTTACTGACAGACACACACTCAGTGACAGACATACATACATACACACTCACTGACAGAAAGACACATACACACTCACAAAACACAGACTCACTAACAGACGCACACAAACTAACACACACACACTCAGGGCCGCCATCAGGGCATGACAACCATAACTGTTGTCATGGGCCCGGCGGTCCTGGGGGGCCCGGACTGCTCAGGTCCTCCCTGGCCCCATATTAGCTATGTGCACACATATATAGCGATTAACGCTATATAGGTGTGCACTACGGGCCCCCTGCTACCTGTATTCTGCAGGGGGCCCAGCACACTTGAAATATACTGCCCAGTTACTCTGCTCTGTTGAAGTCTCGCGAGCGACGTGATCGTCAGAGCGTTGCGGCTCCGCATGGCTTGCGAGACTTCTACAGAGCAGAGTAGCTGGGCAGTATATTTCAAGTGTGCTGGGCCCCCTGCAGAATATAGGTAGTAGGGGCTGCACCATGCCTCAGGAGGACCTCTGGCTCCAGTGCTCCAGCCCAGCCAATGTGATTCTCCCCTCCATGGCCACAGGTGAGATACAGGGAGGGGGGAATAAAACATTACTATTAATGGTTGGAAAAAAAAAAACTGTAGGCTTTTCCCCCCACATTTTACAGCCCCATACATTTACACATACTATACACTAACATTTACACACACTACATCCTTACACAAACATACACACTCTGCAGTCACTACACACACTACATACCTACACAAACACACAGTCTGCAGTCACTAAACACACTACTTCCTAACACAAACACACACTTTGCAGTCACTACACACACTACATCCACTACACAAACACACAGTCTGCAGTCACTATACACACATTAAATACTTACACAAACACACATTATGTAGTCACTATGCACACATACCCACTACATCCACTACACAAACACACACTCTGCATTCACTATACACATCGCATTTAATACACACAAACACTACATCCACTACACAATCACACATACACATTACATCCACTACACAAACACACACTCTGCATCTAATATAAACCTCATACATTACACAAATGTACAATCTGCATCCACTATACACACTGCATCTGTTAAACACACACCAACTCTGCATACACTACACCCATTCTACATCCACTATACACACACATCAGAATCGGTACAGACACTGCATCCCTGTGGGCGGACTCGGGCAGCACCGGGGGCCCAGACCTTGAGCTGTGTCAGGGGCCCCAAAATTTCTGATGGCAGCCCTGCACACACTGACACAAAAACTAACACTCACACACACACTAACACGGTTTAAAAAAAAAAAAATGTAATCCCCCAGCCGCACCTACCTTTGGGAGTGCTGAGGGGATTCCCTGGGGTCCAGTGGTGTTGCTGGGTGGCCGGTCAGCTGGCTGGCTGTCTGGCTGGCGGGCGCGCAAGGGAGAACTCTCCCCTGAGTGCTTCCTGTTCAGCTCCCTCGCGCGCCGTGCACTGATGCCGGAGCCGGAATATGACGTCATATTCCGGCCCCGGCATCAGTACGTGGCGCACGAGGGAGCTGAAGAGGGAGCGCTCAGGGGAGAGTGCTCCCTCGCACGCCCGCAGGACCGGCCGCCGGTGACACCAGGGCCAGACTCGGGGGGGCCCTGAGGTGGCCGGCTCCTGGGCCCCCCAGTTGAAGAGGCTGGCCACACTGGGTACATACTGGGTCGCAGGGTGGCCGGGCCCGGTCGCAGCCGCAACCTCGGTATGTACGCCACTGTCTAAGGGACATGCGATAGAGTTTGGGACTGATGGCCTAGAGTTCCATAACAGAGGTGGTCTTCACTTGATAAAATTCCTCACCTGTTCTTTCTCGTTATCCTCCTGCAGTCTGCACTTATGCTCTTTCATGTACTTCTGGCGTGTAAAACCTTTGCCGCAGTCTGGGCAGCAATACCGATAATTGCCAGTGTGGCAGCGCTGGTGCTCCAACATGTGTGCTCGTCGGCTGAAAGATTTGGTACAATACTGACACTTGTGTGTCTTCATTCCTAAAAAGAAGAAAATATCATATGGGTAAGTATCCAAACTACAGATGTTAGCAGAAAAAAAATAAGAAAATTGATGCCTAAATTTCAGATGCTCCGAGATCTTCAGGTTAATGAGAAATCTGGATATTTGTGTGTATGTAATCTTCCTCTTAGAACATAATCATAACCATCGGATACTCACCGGAATGTGACAGGATATGAGCTTTCAGTTTGTCAGGGCGATTAAATTCTTTGTTGCATCCAGAGTGAGATCTGTAGGGATTTAGATGCAGACATTATTAATCTGTCTAGCTATCTAACCAGTATATTCTGCAGTAAAGGAAAGTGAATGAAGTTGAAGATGTAACTTCATATATACACAGATGTATTTAAACTTGGTTCAACAACTCCCATCACCACTGACCAAACAATTGCCTGGCTGGTGGTGATGTCAGTTGTGATCCACATGCTAGTTGAGAGTGAGCCTGAAAACCACAGATAAACAGCTTTTATGTTCACAATTGGAGAGAAAACAGTAAAAAAATAAAATAAAATAAAAAGATATAGACTTACGCAAAGGGACACTTGTACTTTTTGTATGGCTCGTGAATCAACATATGTCTCTTCAGCTTGTCTTTTCGATTAAAGGCAGACTTGCACAGCTCACATCTGAATGGCTTTTCACCTGTGGGGAACAGTACATTATTGCCTAGGATCTGCAGGGACAAACTGTCGAGTGGTTATATTCATGAGATATATGAAAGCATTGGATGAAGTTGGATCATCACAAATACAATTCTGACTGCTAGCATAATCTGCCAGACTATTTTTTTTTTTAAATTACTATTTTGTGAATGCTTCTAAGGGTGGTATAAACAATCAATAATTAAATAACAATCTCATAATATCTCTTGACTTATGAGATTTCACCAGAATGAACCCTTTACTTACACTCTACTACCAGCACATGTGATTATCGTCTTGTCATCTAATCTAGAACACTGTTATGACTTGCTGATTTTATACTACTTGCTATATTGCTGTAGATTTATTTATTTACAAAATATTTTACCAGGAAAGATACATTGAGATTTCTCTCGTTTTCAAGTATGTCCTGGGTTCACAAAACATTGCATTGATATAATATATACAAAATTTAACATAGAACAGGTAAGAAACATATAAGAAACATATATGACAGGTACATTCTGTTTTCAGATATGTACAGATGGATCTCTTAAAGGATTTTAGGCTTAGGAAGACTTGAAAGTGTGCAGGAGGTTGTTCCAGCAACAGCCAGTTTAGTTTTACCATGTCACAATGGTGGGTCATGTAATTACATTGTAGCACAATGCGGCACATCGAGTTATACAATGTATTGAGTTTATTAATGTGGGTTTGTGGTGCAGGTGCATATACTACATCCCCATAATCAATGATTGGCATCAGCATTTGCTGTACAATATTTTCCTTTACTGTAGGGCTTAGGCAGGATTTGTTTCTGTACAGGGCATCTAGTTTTGGATAAAGTTTTGATGCAGGTTTTTCTATGTGGAGGCTAAAAGATAGATTGGGGTCTAACAACATACCCAAGTATTTGAAAGAGTGGACTGTGGTCAGTGTACTATTTTATTTAGTTTTGATGCATAGATGGGGATTTTGTAATTTGTGTAATTTAGGTACTGTTCCAAAGAGCATTGTGACAGTTTTGTCAGTGTTTAGGAAGAGTTTGTTTTTTGCAATCCACTTTTCTATCTCTGTAAACTGGTCTTGGAGCACAGCCTCAAGCTGCGGTAGCTCGGATTTGCTTGCATAGATTACTGTGTCCTCTGCGTACGTGTGTACATTTAAGGATTTGCAGACATTAGGCAGATCATTTATAAATAATGTGAATACAAGGGGGCAGAGAATGGAACCTTGGGGTACACCACACGTGACTGGGAGAGGGAGGGAGTCGCTGTCAGAAATGGACACATATTGTGATCGATCCGATACATATGATCAAAACCAGGTTAACGGATGATGACCAATACCGGAGTTTTTTAGTTTGTGCAATAGAATGTCGTGGTCTACTGTGTTAAAGGCATTAGCAAAATCAAGGAAAATAGCTCCAGTTAGGTCTCCTTGTTCCATGCCAGTTTGGATGTCATTACAAACTTTTAAGAGTGCAGTTGTAGTGGAGTGATTCGGGCGAGAGCCTGATTGATCAGGGGTCAGATAGTTTGATTGTTGGTAATACTCACATAGTTGCGTATGAACAAATTTTTCTAAGATTTTTGACAATACTGGGAGCAATGATATTGGGCGATAGTTAGAAACCAAAGTAGTGTCACCACTTTTATGGATAGGCACTACTCTTGCAGTCTTCCAAAGTTTGGGTATGTATCCAAACACCAAGGATTTGTTAATTAGGGTTGTGACAGGTTTAGCAATTGCAGACGCACAGAGTTTCAACAGCATTGCTTGGATTTTATCAGGTACAGACTGTTTTTTCATTTTTAGCTTATTAAGGGGTTTATTAATTACACTAATAGTTACAGGTCTAAAATTGAACTGGTCTATATTGGGTCTTTGCAAATTTAGGGGGGTCTGTTCCACATTTGTAGTTTCAGGATGTGTGTCATTTGTTAGCTTAGCAATCAGGGTGGTGGAACATCCGACAAAATAATTGTTAAAGGCATTTGCTACATCTAAGGGAAGTTGCAGAGTTTGGTTGTCCACTTTGACAGTGGAGGGTTGGGAGTAGATTGGAAAATAATAAATAACTTACAAACTCCCCCAAAAGTTTCTAGGGTTTGAGATGTTATTGTTCAGATTTTCATAAAAATATTGGGCCTTGGCCAATTTTGTTTGTTTTGTGCATATATTTCGCCATTGTCTATATGCACAGTGATAGAGCCAGTACACTTATCAATCAAGTCAGTGCTTAAAATTTAAAGTCCTATGCTACTAACTTGATTTTAAAACTTACTAGCCACTGCAAGCCTAGAGGGTCCAAGGCATGCTCACCATGGCGAATTTCTACTCGCCAGGGCTAAATTTGCACTCATCAGTGGCAAGTGGAAATTGTGAGCCCTGATTAAATGATACTAAAGTCCCTGGAAAATCTCTGCACCCTAACTTTCCATTCACCTTTTTTGCTTTCTGTATCCCTCGTTATCTTGGAAACTCAATAAAAATCTTCAAATTTAAAAAATTAATAAGTCTGCATACTGTGATTTAGAGCAGGTTCTCTCGTCGCAGAAGAAAATTCATGAATATACCAGTTTAAATCATCTACCTATGTTACAGTGGGTTAAAAAGTCACAAAATATTTTTTTTCTTAACATTTGCTTCTGAAAAAGAGGAACTTTCTCTGTAGCAGTTCCTCTTCCCCTCATCTCTGTAAACACTACTGATGTGTTTTTAGTAGAGACTGCAGCAGTGGTAAGTATAAAACACACTTACGACCAATCCACTTCTGACTGCCCAGCACTACCATCAACCCTAGATATTGCATAAGTGCATGCACTGCAAGCATCAACCTCAAATGATGGGACATTGAGTATTATTATTAATATAAAGCACCAACAAGTAAAAAGGCAAAGGTGCAGTTGTCATGGATAGCTATAACCCGACACGCAGAACTTAAGTAAACAATAATAAATATACTATTTGGGAGAAAAGCATATTACCGGGCCTTAGAGTCAGGAGAACAGAAATTAGAATAAACGGGAAAATAGCCAAAGGTCAAGGTAGATAGGAGAATTTTCAAAGACAAGCCAAGGTCAGATAAGCCAGAGGATATACAAGAAATAACGTGCTCTCGGATTAACCAAATAGATGGAAACTACAACAGGGCACAAACCAAAGGGGATTATATACGCTTAAAAGGGCAGCTATTGGTCATTTTCCCCCGTGTGATACCAGAACGTGTGCGAGACGCCGGTGTAATGACGCATGCACATTTGTGTTATCAATATCCCAGGACATATTCATCTGAGAAAATAGAAACATTTAAAACAAATACAGGAAGAGTTGAGGTCCCTATTCCAAACAGAACTTACATAGATGGATAGGAGGCATGATGAACGAAAGGATGGGAGAATGATGTTAATACAGAGTGAGATGATGGAATTTATTGGTTAAGAGAAATGAGTTAGTAACTGAGTTGAGTGGTAGGCTTACCTAAAAGTAGAATGTCTTTAGGGAGCACTTAAAGGAAGGCAAACTAGGGCAAAGTCTAACAGCATGGGGAAGTGCGTTCCAGAGGGTTAGTGCCGCACAAGAGAGAAGTCCTGACGCTTAGAATGGAAAGAGGTGATAGTAGAAGATGCACATAGGAGGTCGTGGTTCGATATTAAACGGCGATCTGGAGTATATTTGTTGATTAGGGCAGGTAGTGTGGAGCAGTGTAAGTAAGGGCTCTGTAGCTCAGGGTGAGAACTTTGAATTTAACTCTGTTGTGAATGAGAAGCCAGTGAGACTCGCAGAGAGGTGCAGCAGATCCAAAACAATAGGTAAGGTAGATACATGAGGCCCAGACGAGTTCGAGCAAGTTAGCTATTAGAAAGCGGCATTCAATAGATATATTTTCTTAAGGAATCAAAGACATGTAAAGAAAAGGAATAAAAGAAGCCATTTAATATCGTCTCAGGGAATCTTCATGTTTCAGTGAGCAGCATACAAACTGCCCACACTGCCGAATTAGGCATTGATTTCTTAAGCTTTCTAAATGATTCAACACTGTTAGAAGTACTTTCCAAATTATTCATCTATAGAAGGCACCATCAAAGGCTACGTTGTTTGTTTGTTTTCTTGTAGAAAAATCATTTGAAAAGTTTTTCTAACAATTTGGCTTTAAAGAGACACTCCAGGGACCCAGACCACTTCTGCCCATTGGAGTGGTCTGGGTGCCAACTCCCATTACCCTTAACCCTGCAACTGTAAATATTGCAGTTACTAGACAGCCACTAGAGGGCACTTCCGGGTTTCACGCTATGTGAGGACCTCCAGTGTCGCTAAAATCCCTATAGGGAAGCATTGAAAGCATTTTTCAATGCTTTCCTATGGGGAGGTCTAATGCGCGTGCGCGGCATTGCCACGCATGCGCATTAGGTCTCACCCCGCCAGCGGCCGCGCATGCGCAATCGGTCTCCCCCGCCGGATGACAGAATGTAGTGTTAAGGCAGAACAGGGATGTAGTATGGACTTGTCAAGTGAAAATGGTCTCATTAAGGGGGCCATGAAGCAGTGGCCATTGTCATTATAGCTGCAAACATGGATGGCAGGGAGGTATGGCCCAGAAACCAGAACTATCACATCGAGAGGTAAAGCTACTATTGACCTTTCATTGTGGGCAATACCTGAGTGGATGTGGCTGTGAAGCTTCAGGTAGTGTTCTCTTCGGAATAGCTTCTTGCACACCTGGCACTTAAAGCGCCCCCCTCCACCGTGGGTGGGCATATGCCTACGGAGGTAGCGCTCACAAGGAAAAACCTGCCACAGGATAATTAAAATGCAGATAAAATTTTACCAACTGATGCATGATTGGAAAATATAAGTTAAGCAATAAGTAAAGGAACTGTAAAGTTGTAAGAGAACCACATTTTGAGCCATAGCAATTAATGTCACTGTTCTTATTCCTCAGTTATCCAATACCAGATTTACACCCTAGGCTTTCCAAAGTTGTAAAAGTTCACAAATTCATTCCTACACTGTAATACATGTAAACCACGCAAAAAGGTTGTAGATCGAACATTAAGCATAGAATTCACAATATCAGACAAGATATGGACCAAACTACATTTAAATGCAGTACTACATCTGAGCTACAGCCATTTGTGTCCTGCCTATCCCCTTTAAAAGTAATGTAGCTACTGAGCCTATTGCATGGTAAACACAGGCTTTAAAGATACGAGATCTTAAAAGTAAATAAGACAGATCTCAACATTACACAGTGCTGTAAAACAGATCTGACTTTATAAATACATTGTTACAGTAATCAATAAAAAGAAAACAAAGAGAAATGAGACCAGCAGTTCAGATGTTGAATTAAGAAAGGGTAGGGTATTATGGGCAGAATCACGCACCTTCTGGCAGTGGGGACAGGGGTAACTGTGGGTGGCTGTCTGAACATGTTGCTCTAATGCTTCTGGAGTGGAGTATTTACTCATACACTTTAGGCACCTGCAAGAGAATACAGACTAAATTATTGGAACTTCAGTTAATGCAGTCATAGGCATGGCCCTCTCAAGTTGTGTTCTAGCCACTTGGAGTGTAAACAGTGAAATGTGGACCAGTAATATCCTTCTCCATTTAGACTAGGGAGGCAGATATCTGATGAAGAATACTATTCTCATCCTATGCCAATAAGAAAATTATCCAGTCCATTTCTGTACGTAGGAGTATTGTTCTTTCTGTAAATAAATATACAATCTCCACAGAAAGCATTTTGTAAACTCCTGTTAATAAACAGATAAGCACTAAAAACTGTTTGTATGGACAAAATGAAAAATTCCAAATGTAAAAAAAAATAGATATACTTTGTTGATGTATCTATTCCATCTCTACTAGCTTTCCTTCATACCTAGGGAAGCACATTTTCATTGTATGTACAAAGAGGGCACAGGTTAAATATCATTGATTTATAAACAAGCAAATATTTTTGTTTACCAGTAAGTAACTGTAACAGCCCTTCCAGCTTCTGGTGGACACTGCACACTGTTCCAAGTCTATTGTCTAACATGACTCATTTAATTTTAATTTAACCATTTTTCCTAACTCACTCTCACTTAAAGAATAACTCACAGATTTATTTTTGCTATTAAATGTGTAACATTGCCTTTCTTAGTATTAAATCTCATCTGCCATTATCATGCTCAGTCCTCAGATCATGTCCAAAGAAGCTATGTACAGCACATGTTATTACTTTAAATATCACAAAACATAGAATCTATAAAACATGGAGTCCACACATAAAGATACTTTACTTGTACACAGTCATCTCCTTCTTGGGGGCGATTTGAGGCAGTAAACTGTGGGAATACTGGTGGATACTCATCTCGTAGAGGGATGTGAAGTCCTTGTTACACAAGTGACAACGATAAGTCATCTCCTCCTGGTGGGTTTTGATATGCTCCAAAAATTGATCCAGCTTCTGGGACGTATGACCACAGCCTTTCACCACACACTTATACACCTGTAGACAGAGGAATGATTCTGGTAGAAGATTGTTTGGATGTGTTTTTTTTAAAAAAAACTTTCTGTTGCAAACCACTTAATGACTGGATATAGAAACCTTTTAATATGGATTATTTTCTATGTAATAGTGTGTCACATCAAAAGGACATCAAATTTGTGAAATGATTAATGAGTCAATTGTCAATTTGACTTTCAAAGTAATTCTATTAATTCTGAGACCTACAATCCCACCTTGAAAATAAACATAAGGTTCGTAGTAGTGCTCTCTGTGGCTTCAGCCAGGTATTAAAGACTTTTTGACTTTTAAAATGTGAACTTTACTGATCCATTGTGATGTTAGAGTGCAGAGTCCCATTATACGCAGTCATCTTTTAAACTCTTATTCCACTTTACATACCTGTTCCTGCTTGTGCTGCGTCATGTGTGATTTGAGCTGAAAATAGCTGCTAAATTTGCTGGTACAGAACTGGCAATGGTAGGAGCTGTCCACGAGAAGCACTTGCTTGTCGTCTGCGCCCTCTGCCATGCCATTTGGCACTGTGTCCATTCCTTCACTCGGTGGCTCCTTGGGAGAGGTTTGTCCAGGGGCTGCAAGAACAAAGATATATTAAACATGATCATGCTTAATAAGAGCTTAAAAGGTTTCTCATACTCAACAGATCTGTCTGAAAGGCTGCTGAATTGTAAATGTCTGAATGTCAAACTGATGGAAACCCTCTAGTTTTAACACCACCCTTATCGTGAATATACCAGGAGTGAACAACCTACAGTAATCCAGCTGCTGTGCAACCAGCCTGTTCAAGTCAAGGTATTAAACTCCACTTTCGTCCAAAAAAAGTCCAGACGCTGATGAAAGGTGGGTTCTCTTGTGATAACCTAAGGGGGAGACCACTCGGGAAGCATTGTTCCATATAAAATGGTCTTTCTTAGGTTCTTCAAACAAATTAAGATTCACTAGTAAACCCACTTTTCACCTGTGCTGGATCTTGTGCTTTTTCTAGATTTATAGCATTTTAGTGTTGAGAAGCAGGGAGTACCATTTTACTCTAGTCCTGTAGTTAACCACTTTCCCATTATTCCTACTACTCACCATTATTCTCCACACTTTCCTCTGGTTGTGAGCTGTTCAGAGGATCCACTTGCAGTGTCACATGGCCTTTGGTGTTGGTGGTATTGGTGGCCCTTGGCCACACCTTGTGAGTTTGCATATGCTTTTTGACATTGGATTTTTGTGCGAAAGCTCGTCCACACACAATGCACTGGAATGGCTTTTCACCTGTGTGGCTACAAGAGACAGTAAACTAGAATTCGCAAAGATAATATGGAACATTTCAGTGGAACAAAGTGTTGGAAGTTTAATAGAACGCAGTGTTTTGTTCTAGAACATTTTATTTCTAGAAGTTCGTAGAACGCCATAGAAGTCATACTTTTCAACATCTAGCTCATCTACACTTAGTTTATTATTATCATCATCATTATACCAATTATCACTATAGAACACTAGATTCTAAGATAGTGAACAAATTTTTGGAGCATGTGGGGACTGATTTATGTCAGGAGCAAGTAAGTGAAGTGCTAATAAGTAAGCCCCAGTTACTGTTGAACTTCGACTCTTGAGATCCTCCACCATTTCTTGGAGTGTTCTATGAAGCGGAGAAGACGCTAGTGAAGGCAATGACTTACCTTCTAATGTGCTGTTGAAGATCAAAGTTTTTCCCAAATGCCTTGTCACAAAAGGTACATTTCAGCTTGGGAGATTTCACTTTTCCTGAAGATTGACCAGTAAAAAAATTTTTTTAAAATACAACAGCATTTACTGCACATATACATTTTATTAACACCATACAGTGTTAGATATAACACCGCATAAGAGGATGTTCTAATACCTTCACGGCATAAAATGTCTCTGGTATTAATTATTGTAAAGGATTTAAAATAGAGAATATACTTTGAGTGCTGTCACAATGACACAAGTGTGTCTCAGTCATGGAGGATTTGTCAAGACTGAACAAATTGAAGACGATTATATACACACACACACACACACACACACACACACATATATATATATATTTTTTTTTTATGTTTTTTTATTCACTACATTTATTCACAGAATTTTAGTGATCTGATTCAAATTAGCAAAATTTTGACTGAAATAATTAAAGGACCACTATAGTGCCAGGAAAACACACTCGATTTCCTGGCACTATAGTGCCCTGAGGGTGCCCCCACCCTCAGGGTCCCCCTCCCGCCCGGCTCTGGGGAGAGGTAAGGGTTAAAACTTACCTTTTTTCCAGCACCGGGCGGGGAGCTCTCCTCCTCCTCTCTGCCTCTTCTCCTACCCTTCGGCTGAATGCGCACGCACGGCAAGAGCTGTGCGCGCATTCAGCCAGTCTCATAGGAAAGCATTTACAATGCTTTCCTATGGACGCTGGCGTCTTCTCACTGATTTTCACAGTGAGAAGCACGCAAGCGCCTCTAGCGGCTGTCAATGAGACAGCCACTAGAGGATTTGGATGCTGGATTAACCCTAACATACACATAGCAGTTTCTCTGAAACTGCTATGTTTATAAAAAAAAGGGGTTAATCCTAGAGGGACCTGGCACCCAGACCACTTCATTAAGCTGAAGTGGTCTGGGTGCCTAGAGTGGTCCTTTAAAATGTGACTATAGCTTGAGATGGGAGAATTTTTACAAACCAGTTATTTTTGCCTTAATGTTTCTATTCAGAATTCAGTTGTCTAGCCATCACTATATGGCCCTTCTCAAAGTCACTGAGATCTTTTTGCTTGCCCATTTTTTCTGTTTCAACACATGAAATTCAATAACGGACTGTTCACTTGCTGCTTAATATATCCTATCCCTTGACAGGTGCCCTTGTAACGATAAAATCAATGTTATCACTTCAGAATAACAATTCACCTGTCAGTGGTTTTAATGTTGTGGCTGGTCAGTTTATATGCATGTTATCAATAGACTTTGAACTAACAAAGTGCTGATTACCGAAGCATTTCAACGTCATTATATAGTACTGATATACATTCCAATTACACACCATTGTGGACCACCCGGTCAGTCTTGGGGCGACGAGCTTTGCTGGGAAGAGCTGGTTCCACAGGCCCTATGCTGTTCCCATTCAAGTCAGCACATGGAGAACAGCTGCTTGTAGTTTTGGATTTCAGGCCTTGCTTCCCGGGGCTGTATACTGGGGGGGTGTTGTAGACTGTACTCTCTACACACTGGCTGGGAACCTGCAAGTTAGAATGGCACTGCAATCTCATCTGTAACATGTCTTCTAACAAGTAACAAATTCAAATCTGAACATATCATGTAAAACAGGGGTGTCTATAATGCCTTGTCACTCTAAAGGCATGTAAGGACATGCAGAGCATCAAGGAAGCTTTAGTTCTTCAACATCCGAGGATCTACCTTTTGGGTTCCCTGATGTAAAACATTCTGTGATTGCAAAAATGGTTACACAAACCCAAGTATTGCTGTCATTAACAATAAAAGGCTAGTAATTTTAACAGCTAAATAGCTAGGGGTAGCTTACATACATAAGAGCTAACAAGCTAGCCATGTGACAGTTACTTATTCACTGTTTTTACCTCGATCTGGGTATATGGAGCCATGCTCAGCCCGTGGATTTCCATCGCTGGGTTGCCGGGCATGCTGATGGGAGAGCTGTACACTTGCACTACAGTACTGCAGCTGCTGCTGTTTGCTTGCACGGGCACACCTAGATGCCCATGTGCAGGGGCAGATGGAGGTGGGTGCTGCAGCCGTGGTGGCAAGGATGGAGCGTGGAGGTAAGTCCCGCTAGTGTGCATACTTAGGTTACTCTGAAAATGAAAGGAAAAAACCTTATTAAAATGATCTTTATACTACATCGATGAGATACATCTAAAAAACTAAGATGTTTTGAAGCTCCGGACGAAGTCTGAAGTCGGACGAAATGTGTAGGGTAGGAGAGACGCATAGTATCCGTATTTTATTTCAATTAATTTGTTGTTTTCTTATGTTTCCAGTTGGACACTGTTCCTGTTTTCTGGTGATCTCCTTTGGATTGTGCGAAGTGTTATATTGATGTGTTTTTATTACTACTCTAATTGGTTACTGCAACGTGTAATAAATATTGTTTACTATTGTACACAGTTTTGCATGTGTCTGTTTTTCATTTTTTCCCTATATGTACTAACTTTGGGGGTGGGGAAGAAGAGAATAAAGAAGGTTCTGCAGCATTTGATTTAGGTCTGCCTACAATCAGTTTTTCGTTTGTGAGTGCAATATATCCCTAGCCACTTGTATGGTATTTTAGCGTTATTACACTGTATGTGGTCCTTTTTATAACTTTTATTGTAGATTGTATATTTTTACATATTTATCCAGAGCAATGTGTTTTATTAACTAGATAGCATGCTACATCTGACAGTTTGGGATGTAATAAAATAGTTATTTAGGGGCAATTCTACCTCTGCAATACTCTGTAAGGCACTTCTGATCTTACTATAATCTAATAATGTATGAAATGCTGAGGTACCGACATACTTATTCATTGCCAACATTTATTTTGCATTTTGGCCACTTTTTAAAGGTCTATGAAACTTACACAAATAATAACGGGCTCTAGGTGTATTCACTCACCTGCACTGGTCCTGGTATGGAATGCATTGGCTGGTCCAATGAGGTGAGAGCGGACATTGCAGACAGAAGGGCCTCATCATTCACCAACACATTGCCCTGCACCAACGTCTGGATTAGCGGAGATGGAGGAACCGCAATGTACGTGGAGATCTAAAAGGGAGAAGAGAAATCTCACTTTTCAACCACACTGTATATCACTAACCTAATCTCACATGATTCAGAGCATGGCAGTAGTACTATAATCCTAGATATGGAGTGGCAATCTTCGGCACTTCAGATGCGCTGGACTACATCTCCCATGATGCTTTGCCAGCATCATGGCTGTAAGAGCATTATGGGGGACGTTGTCCACAACATCTGGAGGTGCCGAAGGTTGCCAACCCCTGCTCTAGAAAGCCCTATATATTACTTACCTTTCTGTATGTCTTCTGCAGATTTAGGTTAATGATGGTTTCTTAGATAACCACCTAGTATGTAACCTTAGGAAGCACAGGAGGTTTACTGTTGTTCTACCCACCTGTCTGTTAATCTGTGACTGTTGGACGGAGCTCACCGCTGGGGTATATACGCTGTGAGAGCCCATAGACACAGACGCTAGAGAAGGTGCGTTACCCTGACACTGCTCCCGTTTGTGTATCATGAAAGCTGGTAGAGAGTTAAACTGTTTCTTACATTTCCCGCACAGGAATACGTCTTCATCATCTGAAAAGAAGACACCGTCAAACTACAAATTCTATAGGCACAAGATCACTAGAATGTTCAGTAGCAATGAAAAGAATTATGTTTCAACATAGTAAACAGACTAATAATATTTAAAATAATTTTTTTTGTCAAATCCCACCTCCAGGTTATATTTGCTAAAACATTTAGATTAGTACATATAACGTACTTCCCAGTACTATGATCACATTGAAGTGATTGATCACCTCATTCTCTCAGCCAATGAGCTAACCCTGCACTGCAGACCTCAGCTCAGGGGAGCTATGGGAGTTCCTACTGAGGAACACCCATCTCTCTGTTGGCTGAAGCGGGGGTGAGTAGCAGCACTGGTGGTTTCCAGGTAAAAAGCAAAACCATTCAAAAAAGTTTGACTCCTTGAAATGGAAGGGGGCGAGAGGAACAGGGCACTCCTGGCACCATAGCAACAAGCTACAGTGGTTATGGTGCTTAGTGTGTTCCTTTACAAAAAAAAAAAAAAAACTTTCAATGTCAGAACAATTTTATCACTTCCAGCACTTTATATTATAAAAGTATAAAATGCACAGACTACGTTCTTACCCAGTACTTGTATGGTGCCGGAGTTATTGACAGATTGCGTGGTGGGATCCGACACTCCACTCTGCCCATCCAGCAGTGATTGGACTGCGAGGACAGTCTGGTTATCCATGCCTAGAAAAATACAACACATTTCTTCCATTATCACAGCATGTTATTCTTTCCAGTTGCTATGCAAATATAAGCCATAATAGCAGAATTATTATTATAAAATAAACTTTCAAATTAGAATAGTTTCATTTTTGTAAAATAGACACAGTTATTCAACAAATATGACTTGTTGATTATTTAAAGTGAATTTCACATTCTAGGCCGAAACAGTCTATTTTGGTCTAAAATTGAAATTTTACTTTGAATTCTTGACACTTTAGACAATAATCCTGACTGTAGGTCTCACATATTTTAATTATTGTTGTATGGTTTGTGGTCTCTGGTTGAAAAAAAAAAACAGAAGTGTCTCACCAGGAGGGAAGTCCTATCGCCTGACACATGGGAAATGTAGTTTCGCGCAGGCATATTTTTTCCAGTTTTTTCTTTTTCCCCAGGCACACACACTACACACTGTGAATAAACATCACACACAGTCATAAAACATCCCATACACACAATCAGACAATATCCCGTACACACAGCCAGCAAACATCACACACACATATTATATACAGCCAGCATACATCACAGATATTACACGTACCTAGTGTACACCATACACATTACACAAAGCCAAACACACGACACACACATTACGCAGTCAACAAACAAACATATTACATACAGCAAGTAGGCACACATACACAATGGGGGGCATTGGAGGAGACTAGGGGAAGAGGCAGAGGGTGAGACACTCACAGTTACTCACAAAACACTTTTTCAAAAATTCTGAGTTTAGTGAGTGACCCTGTCAATGTCTAAGGCACTAGGCAGGTGTTCCAAACTGAAATTATTTTTGTCTCAGGCCAAGTAGATTATCATTAAAGACAAATAATAGATTGTGATACTGCTTCAGTAGATTTTTATTTTTTTTTATCTCCACACCGCTATAGATACACTTCATGCTGATGGTGAATAACATCTAGGTTATATTTTTTCATACTTCAAAAAAAAAAAAAAAATTAATTGTAAAGTTTCCTTCCTCATTATGTGGGCATTATATTGGTAAAGGTTAGCAGGATTCTGCCATGCTGCACTGCTGTTAACTCTCACTTCTTTTTTTCAAACTGTCTACAATTTTATTTAATAACAAAGTAAATGTAAAATTTTATGCCAAAACAGTCAATATGGTAAAAAATAATAAAATCCCCAATTAAGCTATGTTTCTTGTCTGACCACTTTGGCCTAAAATTTTAAATTACACTTTACATTCCAAACAATTCACACGTTAGTGAATAAACCCCAAATACTGCCAGGACTACACTCCAAACAAATTAACACAATAAAAAAGTAAAACAAACGTTGGACAAAAAAATAACAAGGCAAGCAAATAATTTTATATATATATATATATATATATATATATATATATATATACATACATACACACACACACACACTATTTTGGCTAAAACTGCAAATTAGCTTTTAATGCACCACTGATCAATATTAAAACTGTTTACTAAATAAACTCTATATAAGTATTTAGATTCAAATTGCTGCAAAAGTTAATTTGATCTCTAATATGAATAATCTGGCACTGACCCAAAGATAATTTGCTATTTGGGTCTACACATCCCAGAACCCACACACTGTAGGCTATGTAAGTGCGGGGTCATCTTGGCACCCCAGATTCTGGTATGATGGTAGCAATGGCTGGCTGTGCGTCAAAGTAAGTGCAGTCCACAAGCACCCTGCAAAGGCTGATTGGCAGTTCACAACATTAGCCATGTATAGTTTCTATCCACAAATATGAGCTACATAGTATCATTCGATCTATAGAATGCTCACTAGTGTTCTTGGAATTCTATTAAACAGCCGGTCAGTGACCTACAGGATATCTGGCTGTGATATGAAGAATTAGAGTACTTTAAGAGACACTCCTTGACAGCAATATGTCCCCCATGGGGTGTCTGCAGTTCCAAAAAGCTAGCATCTCCCCTGCTTTTAATAATGGCGGCTTTTCCAGGAAGCCCTCCCCCCCTCTGCTAAAGCTGAAGTCCTCAGTCTCAGCTCTTCCATGTGACTTCCCCCCCTCTGCACATTCTGCTTCTTTCCCTACATAGCAGAGTAGCAGGAGCCCCCCCAGCAAGCATAGCTCAGATCTGAATGGCTCTGCGATGTCCCACCATAGTGGATAGGGTTTAGAAGGGGGCTTAATGCACGATTTACCTTCAAAGGCTTCAAATATCGTTTGCGCCATCTTGTAAGCTGCAGAAATGGTAAAAGCAGCATTATGGGAAATGTGAATTGCGTGCAATACCCAAAGCGGCCGTTAGAGGGCTTGTAAAAAAATATCTATATGGGTTTAAAAGCTAATTGTCATTAATTAACTAAAAAAGCTATTTACTAAACTGCAACTTGTCCGCAGCTCAGCAGGAATATATATTTATTTATTATATTTATTTTTTTCTTCAGGGAAACTTTTAGCCCGCAAAATAATCAATTTACATAGATGCATGGGAGTTCATTCACTAAACAGCAAATTGTAATAAACTGAAAAATGAACTGCAAAATTTAGGATGAAATTGCCAAGTTTCAGTTGCAGCTTGAGTTGGAGATTTTGCCAGTCAGTCTATCTTTCCTACACTTTTAAAATTCCCTGATCAATTGCCACTTTACTTAAATAACTTTGAATGTATTTAAAGTGTCACTCTAAGTCTCATAAATACTCCTGCTCCTTGTAGTAGCTATACAGCAAATCTCTCCAAACCTGGACAGCAGTCTGGTCTAACCTGCCCATAGCAATGTCATTTTTTTTGCTTTATAAAGATGGGTGTATTTTCACAGATAATGCATACATTTTATTTCAGTGTTATTTGGTGCAACTGAAGAGTGGGTGAGCTGTGGGTGCCTCTGAGAACCCCAGTTTAAAAAAAAACAAAACACTTTAGAAACTTTGACAAAAACACGCAGGGCACCCAAAGACTCATAGTACCATAACCACTTCAATAAGCTGTTATGGTGCTTAGTGTGCCCCTAGACATAGGAGCAATGTTATTCACTATGATATTGGGGCAATTTGGAGGATTGATTAGACATACACAAAGTTCACTGGATTTGCTATATTGGGTGGATGGGTTTCCAGTTCAGAGCAAGATTGGCTCTAAAAGTACCTGAATTTAAGAATTGGTCAAAATGTATTTCCTAAAATAGAACATGAGAATTTTTTTAAATTTAATATTTTGCAAATCTGTTAAAAAAAAAAAAAGTAAGAGAAACTGAAACAAACAGTTAGTATAAGAGGTGTTCTAAAAAGTGGTCCGTAGTACTAAAGGTGAGGCAATCACCATGGAAACCAATGGAACCTGCAAGCTCATGGCATTAGTAGCTTTGCCCCTTTGCCAAGTTTACATCACTTTTCAGAACAAATCATTTTCATAAATAGCCCCGTGTGAGGGCTAATAATAGAAGTGTTGGATACCAACTATTTGCAAACTTTTTGGAATTCAAAATTAATTTAAAATTAAATCAAAATAGTCAATCTAGAAACATAGAATCTAGAAATTCTCCCTTTTTGGCATAAGAATAAATAAAAAGTTAGAAAGAATTATGGAATCTAATTTTATGCACCTTTTGAAAAAAACAAACAAAGATTTAAAGGAATGGCGACAGTTAGAAATATCGTGGTGGGGTAGAGTTAATACCCTGAGACATTATGTGCTTCCTAAGTGGATTTATTTAATTAGGATGTTACCATTGATTATCCCCATACCCTGGATGAAGATGATTAAATCTTCTTTTGCCAATTTCGTGTGGAGAGGGAAAAAGCCCAGAATTAAGATCAATACTATGTGCTCCAATACAGATAGAGGGGATTAGGTTTTCCAGACATAGAAAAATTCTATGAAGCCGGAATAACCTATCATATCGCAATGTTACAAAGGCAGATATATCAAAAAGAGGCATGGGGGAGGATAGAAACAGTTTTATGCCAATCAAAAAATCTATCTAATATTATATGGAACAACAAAAGTTATGATTACTCATTATCATTTGTACTGGATCAAATAATCCCTATATGGGAAAGAAGAAAGCAGATATTAAGAATAAGCTCCTGGTTTTTCAAAATATAGAAAGTCTGGAAATAGACATAACAAATATTTCCTTAAAAGTGTGGAGAGAGGTAAACATCAGAAAGATTGAAGATTTAATGTTAAACGGTGAGTTAAAGACTTTCGATGTATTGATAAGGACATTTTCTCTCCCAAATAGAGAGGCATTTTCTTACCTAAGAGTTAGGAATTATTTGAAGTCCAAAACCTTTGTAAATAATGGGGAAATATATAATGCGCTAAAAATAATCTTCTCTAAAAAAGAGTCAAAAAATCTTTTTGCTATATGTACAAAATTTTTTGATATAATAAAAACAGAGAACCGCCCAACGGCAATAAAAAGTTGGGAAAAAGTTCTGAAGTTCCCCATAGATTTAGAAGAATGGTATGCTGCTATAAAGAAAACAAACAAATATGTACATAGTCTCTCCCTGATGGAAACTCACTATAAAGTGATAAATAACTGGTATTTAGTCCCCTCAAAAAAAAAAAATATCAAGAATGTTTAACGATAACAATGATATGTGCTGGAGATGCGGAGAAGAGAAAGGAGACTACCTTCATATATGGTGGAGCTGTAAGAGAGTAATCCCCGTATGGTCTATGGCCAATTTATTATTACATAGGTTAAATGGAATAGGAATAAAAATGACACTAGAGGTGATGTTGCTACATATAAGGTGGCCTGCCCTAAGCAGAATGAATCAAATCTTGACAACACATTGTTTAATCGCATCAAAAATTATTATCGCCAGAAATTGGAAAAAGACGCAACCATTCCTGAAGAAGCAACTTGTTCAACAATTAAAATATCAGATTCATATGGAATTAGGGATGTATAAAATTAAAAATCAACATAGAGAGTACAGTATGTGGGAAAATTGGCTAACCAAATTGGAGAAACAAGAGAGCGAACTGATTCCTTAAAGGATAAATCTAAATAGAATGATATAGTACATATTTCCTCTCGATAGTAAATAATTTGACTCACATAGCTGTAAAGTAAGGTGTGAATGCTTGTATGAATGTGGTTAGGTCGTTTTCTTCTCTTTTTTTTTTCTTTTCTTTTCTTTCTCTTTGCCGTATCATTTTTTATCCTCCCTCTACTGTTCCAAAAATGAGGTATCATTACTTTGGTCATTTTAATATGCTTTAGCATAACATAACATGCAAAGTGTAATAATAGCTGATAGTCCTAAGTAGGGGAGTGATGGGAAGAGCAAGGATATTTATAATGACTAATATACCTAGCCATATATGATGATATATCTGAAATCTATAAAGAGGCGGGTATTGTCTGAAATATAAGGAAAGGGAAAGAAAAAAAAAAAAAAGAAATTCTCCCTTTTTAGCCTAAAATTTGAAATGCACACGTTAATGAGTAATCCTGCTTGTATACAATTCGGATTATTCCTGTGCAGATTAGCAGACAGCATTGTTCTGATCTGAATGTGAACACCTGATACAATTCACCAAGTTTTCTTGTGAATTGTGTTGAATCAATACAAAACTCCCAGCCAGAGCTGCATTACTCATATGGCAACTTAGGTGGCCGTCCAGGGCCAGGGTCCAGACATGGGCCTTTTGGACCCCTGTCTGTGCCTGAAGCTCTGGTTTTGAAGGGGCCATCATTGAGCCAGCTAGTTGATCAAAAAGATCTCCCTGTGAGGACCCCCATGGGACAATAACCCCAATCCGAGTAGACACACACGCCAATAAGAGGAGACACCTGAGATTTGAACGTAAAACTCACAAGGACTCGGGTCACTATCCCGACCAGCAAGAGACACCACCCACGTAACACACACAATGAACAGCTATGATACACATCGGACAGCACGAGAGCTACACCAAAACATTACAAAATATGCCCCCCCCCAAAAAAAATGAAACATGCACCTACAACACGGACGCACCCCCACCCACACACACGACACACAAGACACTGAGAGGAGGGACGCACAAACACACTCAAGACACAATACACAACTCAGTATGAAGAGACCAGTGAGTCTCCTAACGACGGAGGTTGGACGAGAGGCCTGCGAGCCTCAGTATAGTCTGCACACAAACTACAATTGCTGTAAACGAAATGTATAACTCATAAACACATGACCCGCTCACTAGGCCAAGTCGCAATAGGAAATGTAATTGAGAAATGCTCGTGAAATACGATAAAAGGGACTTGCAAGTCCGTCAACATTGTGGGCCTGCGAGCCCGACTAAAAATCTATGTTTTCATATCTTTCTTATGTTTTCTTACCTTCTGATAACTCACCTTGGAGACCTGCGTGTCTCTGAATCTTGACTAACCAATACAAATAAAAATTATATTAAAAAAAAAAAAAAATCTCCCTGCTCAGCCCTGTGCCAGCCTCACCGCTTGAGAGAGCATTATTAAAAGTAATTTAAAATAAATTCATTTATGTGTCTTGATTTATAGAGTACATATACCCTGTTCCCAGTGGCGTACATATGACCCATGGGGCCCCGGTGTGAAAATTGATCCGTGGGCCCCCCCAGCGCGCGGGCCGGGCCAGAACACATGGCGGTGGGCACCTGGTCGCAGGGGTTACAGGGCTGCGACCCCTGCGACCGCGGTATGTACGCCACTGCATGCAGATGCACACACACTTAAAGGACCACTACAGACACCCAGATCACATCAGCTCAATGAAGTGGTCTGGGTGTCAGGTCCCTCTAGTTTTAACCCTGCAGCTGAAAACATAGCAGTTTCCAGAGAAACTGCTATGTTTCACTGAGGGTTAATCCAGCCTCTAGTGGCTGTCTCACTGACAGCCGCTAGAGGAGCACACTGAATGTCCATAGGAAAGCATTGAGTAATGCTTTCCTATGGGCGGTTTGAATGCGTGCGCGGTCGCATTCGGAGCTGAGAGGCTGAGGGATCCCCAGCGCCAAGGGAGTCTGGCGCTGGAGAAAGGTAAGTGCTGAAGACACACACACTCTCACTTACAGACGCATACACACTAGCTAACAGACACACACATTTACTGACAGACACACTCAGCGACAGACATACACTCTCATTGACAAACAAACTCACTAACAGACATCAAACAGACTCACTAACACACACACACACTCAGTAAGACACACAGTAACACACTCACTGACACTCACTAGCAGACACACACTAACACTCACTCTAACACTCACTCTAACACTCACA